AGATATAAGTAGATAGATAGATAGATAGATAGATAGATAGATAGATAAATAGATAGATAGATAGATAGATGTCAAGTCCTGACAGTAAGTGAAACATGCCTGTACGGTCAGTCACAGATGGCTAGGCGTCGGCAGCTCCATTGGGGATCGCTGTTCGGCCGCTCACCTTCGTGAGATGCCGAAACAGGGATAGGGAGCTAGGCCAAAAAACACCCGCCAAGCGAGGAGCAAGAACGAGAACAGGCACGAGCAAAAACACGTGGTGCCAGTGGAAGTAAAGAACAAACTACCGGGGGAAGCATGATAGGGTCGCCATCCCACCAACAAGCACTGCACAGGAAAGAGAAAAAAAGGAGGCGGCGCCGGCACAGCAACGCTTCGAGCGAATTGACTTGTCCTTCCTGCGATGCCTCTCTACCAGAGGGTTCCGGTCCTCGGAACATGGGGGCCGAGGGTCCTGCTCGTGTAGTTGGATCCAGCATCGCAGCCTGCATCACCCTGGCCTCCAGCCGGTCGAACCCACCCCTTCGTACCGTCGAACAGGCGATACGAAGGGCGAGCGAACAGTCGCAGTTCGGCCCTGTGGGCCGACAAAAAAGGTAAAATGAAAACTTGAGCCATAGATAGATAGATAGATAGATCGATCGATCGATCGATAGATCGATATATCGATAGATCGATAGATCGATAGATAGATAGACAGATGGATAGATAGATAGATAGTCACTGTAGATGGACAGGTAGATAGATAGACAGATAGACGGATAGTTGGACAGATATGTAGACAAATGGATAGAACAGTGCGGAAAGAAGCTATGCTAAAAGCTGGGCGAGGTTGAATCGGCCCTCAGCATCCACCATTGTCGGGTTTTGGATTTTGGGTTCCTGGCTTCTGTGGCTTTTGACTTTCGTGGCTTTCGTGGCTTCTGTGTGGCTTTTGGCTTTCGTGGCTTCTGTGGAAGGTGTATAAGCCGTTTGTAAGACACTCGGGGGTAGAATTTAGATGAGGAAAGTGCCAGTCCAACGGTGCAAACCTTTGAAATCAGGCGGTTGATTTCATTGCCGGGTTGCTGACCGTACTTTGTTTTCATTGCGGGGGCGGCGCTGCGCCCTCCCCCGCGCCCCCTCCCGCTTTCTTAATTTACACACTTGCTACGGGACAACTGAATGCCAAAACCACTATCTTCTTTGCATTGACAATGCCACAAAGGTGGATGATAAGGCCCACCTTCGCTTAGCTGTGACAACGCCACAAAGAGGTTTTTCAAGGCTTGAGCTGTTTAGCTTTAGTGTTAGCATGAACATGTCTAATTACACATGACTTGTACGAAATCCAAAGGCCACAGAAGCCAGAAGCCAAAAGCCACAGAAGCCAGAAGCTGCGAAAAAAGTGCCAACCAGGAGAAACAGCAGGAAAAACAAACCAAGCAAGAAAGAAGGTGCAAAAAGCAGCAGAAGCAAGGAAAAAAAGGATTCACAAAGAAGCAAGGAAAAGTAAACCAAGCACGGAAAAGTAGTAAAAGCACGGACGCAGTGAGAAGCAAGGAAAAGCAACACAAGCACAGAAAAGCAGGAAAAGCAACGCAAGCACAGAAAAACAAAAAAAACAAAGAAGCAGTGAGAAGCAAGGAAAAACAACACAAGTGCAAAAACAAATAAGACATATATCACTACTGCCTCACCCCCCGGGGGGGTCAAAAATGTAATTTACAATTTCGGATGTGTCAAAATGCAGGTTTTGGAAAACGGTGAAAATTGAACATACAGGTCTGATGTACCTCCATCTCACAAGACAGGGGTCAAAAATGTAAGTTACATGTTTGACCCTAGTGTGTGTTTGTTTCGCCTACACCCCCTCCTTTCAGAGTCTCCAGAAGTAGGCCAAGACCTCTTTCGGGGGGGGGGGGGTCAAAAAAAGTAACGTCACATAGGCTACCTCAACCCTAGATCTTACAATGTTCACCCCCCCCCCTATAGGGCTATATAAGGCTATTGTTGTAAAATCAAAAAATGTAACTTACAATTTTGACCCCCCCGGGGGGGGTAGTGATAGACATATAAAATAAATATTAAATACCCCTCCGCCGACAACTCTTAGCACGACATACCATGCGGCCAAGTCAGCACTCTGTAGGTTGACATGTCATGCGGCTAAGTATTAACACTCACGCGGGTAAGTATTCACTTTGTTGCCCTTCCTGTTTTCTCTTCGTTTTCTCGGTTTTCTTTCGTTGCTAGAAGCTTTATCGTATCTGAGGTCTTTTCGTGTCATGCTGCTAAGTATTCACTCGTACGTTTCACACTGAGTAATTCACGCACGGTCTTGCTTTGTGTTCGTTCGTTCAACTTTTCAGTCAAGGGAGTTGCGATTCAGCTCAGTGTGTGTGTGTGTGTGTGTCAACCCCCGTCTCCAAGAACACTACATGTCTATCTATTCCAATACAGTATTTGTCATTGCATTCGTACAGGAAAGCAGGGGGCTCTGGGTCCACCTTCACGCCAGAGCCAACGAAGACCGTGAAAGTTCAGACGCGCAAACGTACCTGCAGTGGCACACTTGGGCGCATAATAGGACGCAGTTGGTGGCCACCCTCCTTTTAATTCGCGAGTAAAGTGCTAATGAATCCTTGTTGCAACCTTGTGTTGCGCCTACCCAGCATTTCTTTCTGTTCCATCAAGTCAAGTGCTACGTATTCATCGGCTAATGCAGTTGCGTAAAGGGCTAATGCTCACCGTGAATCTCTGAAGCCACGCTCCACGGAGCACTCATCTTAAGTGTGATTCGCAGTGTCTTCCCACTGCGGTAAGCTGTGTGAACCCAGATTGGGCGCCGTTATGAGTCTTTACTCCTTTGCCGGAGAGAATCTCTGTACAGTCCTCTAAGGACCTCAGATTAACGCAAACATTTCTTGCTCGAATATTCAATTTTTTGAATTTGTCTCACCTCGGTACCTTTGAATCCAAGCTGCAGAGCTTACTGCTCCTCTTCATCTGAAATGGTTTCGCACTAGGAACCTTTGACTTATGATTTTCAATTGTTCAATCGGTTCTTTTCATCGTTTGTTTCGCCCTTTACGTTTGACACTTCTAACCCAGAGACAACAGTTTTTACAAACTGACAGCACTTTGGAGTGATCGGCGCGCCTGCCATTGCATTTGCAGTCTTGATCTCACCGAATTTTCTTGGAGTACGCCAGCGATGTCATACTACTGGCAGCAATACCCACCACCAACACATTCACCACCACATCAATACCACTGGCATCCACCACCGCATTCACTACCACAACCAGTGCCAATGCACATCCCACAAGCAACACGCCCAGTTCAAGTGCAAAGTTTCTGGCCACCACAACATACTTATACACCACCCCCAAGCCACTACCATGCCTATCCCGCCAGCGAACATCCACATCCACACCATACACCCATTTCACATCCTTCTGATCTCTACCAACAACCCTCTTTTGAGCAACCATGCCCGGCACTGGCAACACAATACGACTGCTCCGGCAGTTCCACCACCATACGACTTTTCCCACACCCAACCACAGCAACGACGTCCCCTCCTTCCACCTCCCCCCAACCACCACAACAGTCACCATCAGCTCCCGTTCCACAGACCGCTCCACCTCAGCCAGATACATCTACCCCTTCACCGGCTGACAACACTCCTTCCTCAACACCCACAACACAAGCAACCCTATCAACTCCGCCACACCACCAGCCAACATTTACATTTACACTACTCCATCGAGTTGATTGGCAATATTTTAGTGAAGTCATCCTTTGATTTTCTTCATGAAGGTTCCTGGTATCTTTAAAATAGTGCCAATCTTATGTTATTACATGTGGAAATTTCTTAATAATAAGAGAAACATACAATAAGATAAATTTCCACAACCATAATATATTCTATGACATCGCCACAACCACCACCACCTGACAGCTCACCACATAGCCCTACCACCATCAAAAATTGACCGACCACGTCGACCCCACACCTTCTCTGAACTCAGCAAGTGAACGTGAAGCAAACACAAATTAGAACAACATCAAGCGCAACAAAGCAGCCACTGAACCTGAGATGTCGACTGACTCAGGGCAGCAAAAGAATGGTGCTGTGAGAGCGGGCTTAGTCCAACACATGAATGGTCGACTATTCCCGACACCCAATTCAATTCCTGACGCCCGATTAGGTTGCAAAATACTTTTGCCATTTATAAAGTCAATATATCAAGGTGCCAACTTTCACGCCTGTTGCAACGACATGGGACAAACATTTTTGCGGTTTGATAAAAGTGCGCGACTACTGGCGCAGTTGTCAACCCGCATTGAAATGCATTAGCATTTTCATGTTCCCCCACTGGCCCTGCGCAAATCAGAAAACATTGCAAAGACCATACGAAATTGTGAGGAACTGCTCAAGCAAGTTGACACCAAAAACAAGAACTCTGAGTCGGCCACATGTCATGGATGATACTCTACTGTTTATGGAGAGGATAGGCAGCTAGGCTCCAACTCCAAGATCTGTGCAAATGACTTGAATTCTTGCATCCCGTCGCGAGGTCCCTCGTTGATCAAAACCCAACCTCGTCACCTCCTCTGGGGTTGCCCCAATTGGCTCGGACAGATTCTGCAGCCCCCCTCGTCCGTTCGTTGCTCCACTTCTCCTTCTGCTCCACCGGCGCAGCTCCTCCCGCGGCCGCTTCCATCGTGCGGACGTGCGTCTCCTCCTCTGCGAGGAGCCTGAAAGGCGGAAGAAAGGGTGTAGTGAGTGCAAATGGCGGAGTTGAGAGCTGGGGGGACATCTCCATGAATGAAGAGTTCTTACAATCAAGCATGTATAGTTTTCACATGAAAATCACATGTAAATAGTGGCCATTTCTTCGTTCGACCATCCAGCAGCAAAACACATTGCAATTCATTGTTTCATGCTGTAGTCTTGGACCTGGACATGGACAAAACTGATGGATGCCACTGCATGCCCAACACTCGCTAGATCACAACTGGTCATGCGACATGCGACCTTTGGTTCCACGAAAAGTGCCCATTGTCCTGACACCGGTGCTCATATCGCACCAGTCCCAACACTTGAACTGATGACGTTGCCGGTGTGTGATGGAAACGCGGCTGTGATGTGGCAGGTTCACGGTTCACTTTCCTGTGGATTCCAGTGGGGGTGCCCCTACTAAATGCTCGAAATCGCATCACCTCGAAAAAGGTGGCGTGAAGCCCCAGATATTTGCATGTTCTTTCTACTGAGTATGGTGACAAACCAATACAAACCAAGGTTAAGTGATCATAAATGGAACCCTAATTACTTGGGATAGTTGGGTTATTCCTCTGTTGGGTGAACTCGGACCGACGGACACGTTCAACCTGCGGCGGGGACCCCGCGGTTCCTCCTGAGACGCGCCAGTTCCTGCTCTGCGCGCCGCTTCTCTGCCTGAAGCTGAAGCGAAGCTGGAAAGCGCGAAGCCATTTTTTGGAGTGCGGGCATTGACCTCTGACTATCAAAACGCCTGGCCAAAATGAAGCGTATGTTCATGTTTGACCTGATTGTTGTGCCCCAGCTATCAAAACACCTGGCGCTTTCAAATGCCATGTTCGTTCATTCATATCTTCTTGCCCTATACCACATACAGGCGAGGAATCCCGCCAACCAATCCTTTGACAACTCCAGCCACTCTGCTGAAATGTTTGGGATGGCCAGTGGTGCCTTCCTTTGATATTGCCATAGTTGTGAAATACTGTCCAATCATCCTCATAAATCCTTTGCCAGAATGCGCGTAGCCTCAAAGCATTCTTGTTCACCCTTGCAGTGTGCCCATACAAATCCAGTGACACTGGCCCACTAAATAGCAGTGTTTCTGCTCTTTTCTCTGGAAGCGGGGGCAGCTAAAAGTCACCCGATCATATCTGAACACCTCTATTGAGCTGCATGTGTTGGTCCGCTGCAAGCGGTGTCACCCGACCCGGTCGCAAAAGCCATACACCTCATCGACAGTGCGGTGTACCTCGCTGCCAACTAATACCTCCAACTGTTAGTCAGCTTTTGGGAACTGCATCGCCAAATGCCGCAGAACGCTGCGTGGAACTTGTGGCGCTGATCAACCATTTTGCATCAGCACGTGGGGAGTGCGCCCCTTCGAAGCCAAACGAATCAAAAAGAACACCAACTAGAGTTAAACATAATTGAACCAAACATCATTGGCCAAGTATATGTGTTTATGTGAATAGTACATGGATTGGAGGCCAGGAACATGGAACACGTACTTATCGTCCTTTCGCGCTCGCTTCGCGCGCGCTTCGCGCCTCAGCGCGCCGGAGCTGTTCCACGTGGGGCGTGGAACCAGCGACTCCGGTGAAGTGGAGCCCTTGCTGTTCCATGGCCACCTGACGTGGGGGCAGCGAGCGGGTTCCGGTTTCCGGTTTCCACGGGGGAAGCTTCGAAAAATGCTTCAGCGCAGTGAACAGCTTGATAAATATAAACTATGATATATTATAAGTGTTATATGCCATGCTTCCATGGCCTTCCATGGCCAACAGCTACATTTTCAAACTGGAACATGTTTGAAGCATATATGATGTCATACTTGAGATAGGAGGGGGTTAACGAAAGAGGAAACAAATCTTTCACATCGGCATCATCGCTGGTCTTGCAGTACACGAGTCAAAGCTCAGTTCGAACTCCTGTTCACTCCTTGATTGTGACCCAAATGCAGGGCCAAACTCCATGAACAATCCCAACTCCAAATGGTAATACATTTTTACTAAAGCAAGGAGAACTCAGGTAGCTGAAGCTACCTTTAGTGATTATGAGGTCGATGATTCTCATATGCTTCCACGGTGAGCAGGGCGCGCCAACCCAAAAAACAGATTGAATGGACATTGCATGGTTAAAGTCTTACAAGTTGCCCCTCCACCTGGAATCCACAAGCAAACTTTAAGAGGCTCTTAGCATGCTCTTCCGAACCTCCTTTTTTCCCAGTCAGCTTGTTACCTCCACTGTAGTTCTTCCCTCAACGTGAAACACATCGTTCAACGCATCTGGAAGTCGCGAGCACTTCGCTCCCTTTCGAGATCCCTTCCTTTATTGACTTTTGGAGGTTTGCACTCCAAGGTCAACGGAAAGCGGATGGCACCACCACCTTTTGTTTTAGTCGGGTCTTCGGACTAGACTCGAGGCCATCCACATGTCCATGGATTTCATTCAGGGGGCTCTCCACACATCTCCACACCCTATAGGGCTCCAGTCGTACCTTCGTTTCGCTGAAGCCGTTTCAGGGTCCGGTGCCAGGGGCGTTCCGTCGTACCGAACGCCGTCGGAGGACCCGACAGGAGGCGCCGCTCCGCCCGAGACACCGATGTCCCGAAGCCTTTCGGGTGTTCCTTCCACCGAACCAGATGAGGATGCAGGTGATGATTCAGATCCTGGAGATGAACCTCCACCCTGGAAGAAGAGACCTCGGCCGTCCGACTGGCCGCTCCGCCTGCTCGGCTTCCAGATCGATGCCTGGCGCGGATGGGAGGAGCAAACTCCATGTACCAACCTTCAGGAACGTGACCGAACTGGAGAACCCAGTGGCGGGTCGGTCACTTAGTCCCTGAAATCAAAGACTTAGTCCCTATAGGATGAGGTCACTTAGTCTACAGACTTCCAAAGAGGTGTAGATGGAAGATTTACATACCTATAGGCAATCCCAACAAATTGGTCCTGTCTGGGGACCTCTTTAATCCTCTTTACGTAGTGTAGGGTAGTCTAGACAGGACACCCCGACAGGACCTGGTACAACATGGGGTCGTTGATTACAAGGGTCAAGGGCCGTTTGGGGGGGGCGGCACTCATTCCATGCCTGGTGGAGTGTATGGAGAAATGGTAGCCACCCCCAAGCCAAACAGAATCTAAGCAGGTAGTTGAAGGCCCCTGACGAGGCGATGGCCCCTGAGATCAAACAAAAACCACCCAGGTGACAGGCAGTTCCCTTCCTTTCGCACGGCGCTTTGTCGCTGGGAAAGGCATCAAACCCCACCCCCAGTGTGCGAGAAGTGCTGGAGAAGCTTGCCCCCCCTTGATCCATTTGATTCTGGCAATGAGGGAACCACTTTTGTGTGTATGGAACTGGGATGTTTTTTCGTAGTACTTGACTGGAACTTGTTGGGCAGAAGTTTCCCAAGCTGGTTGCTGGCCACCCTCCAGTCGTAGAGGATTCATCATCACACCAAACACCCCCCAGTGGCCATCTCAATCTCCACCCCCCCAGTTCTGAAGTTTTAACAAGAACCTCAAACATCTTATTCGCATGAACTTGTTGTTGCAAATCAGTTGTTGATCGGCTGAACCTGTCCATTCGGCTTTTCCCAAAGGCGGTTGTCCGAGTTCCGGTGTCCTGGCGAGACGATCGCGCGATCGAGCAGGTTTTGTAGATGCCATTGTCTTCATCACTCGCAGAATGTACCCTACTAGGACCATCCAAGGGGTGGCCCCATCAACTACCCCACACTACCTGTTGGGTTTGATACCCCTTGGACCCTTGGATGGTCCAGGTAACAAATGTAGAATTGATAGAAATCATGAAGAACGCGTTCGGGCGAGAATTCCAGGAACTCCCAGACTTACGTACACACGGTGCCTTTTGGACACCCCTTTATAGAGGCTATTTACAAACACCTGTTTTGGAAGGTCCTGGTACAAACACGTTGAAAACACCTTTGGGATTGTCTGCCGGGAGCCACGTCCATGCCGATCCCTTTGTGTCTGAAGGTGGGCGACCTTCCTTACCGCAATGCGCGGACAGGCACATTGGATGCGGACATTGCCCCGAACCACCTGGCCAACCATCACCAACAACACGTAGATTAGAATTCATATAAATATGTCAATATATTTCAACCCCCATGATGTATACGTCTGAAAACGCTTTCTGACTTCGTTGCCTTTGGTTCCGAACGCTGCGGTGCTTGCGCCTTTGCTCTTGCACAAGTCCTTGATTTTCAAAATGAGCCTCAGCGTTTTGATGTGTCGCCGCACCCGCACACTCAAGCGGCGAAACTGGAAACACCGCTGGTCATGGTGGGCCCACTCGAAGTTCCAACCTTTTCAGGGCCTTCATGTAAGGCCCTGAAAAGGTCACCTTTGAAAAGGTCACGGTTGTTCCAAAATCCAACTTTTAAAGAACATCCGCACAATTGAACATCCTAGAAGAACAAATGGAGGTTTTGCTGGGTTTTAAACTAGCCGCCAAAAAACAGATTTGAAACTCACACGCAGGATTCCACCATCCAAACAACAGAGAGGCCGCTGTGTGGGTGTGTTTTTCGTGAGGTTCTCTTGGTATTCTTGGTCATTGTGTGATGTTTTTGCGATGGTTTCCATGGTTGTGGCTATACATAGATTTGTGTTCAGCCATGGCAGCCATACATGACCAACCATCAAAGTGTGGTGATCTTTTTAAGCGAACAACAAGCAAACAAAAGCAATTGAACATGCAACAGCAGCGCAATTTGCATCGTTTTTGCATGTGTTATTCTTTTTTCCTGGTACCACTTATGCACTTATGAGAACTTTTCCCCTCAGCAATATTCGCCGTACGTTCCTAGGAAAAAAAGCGAACACATGCGAAGAAAAAGCAAAAAAGAACGACAAACTCGCACAGCTACAGGTGTTTGCTTTTTGTGTTTGCTTTACTTTACTTACGCTTTTGCTTTAAACAATTTGACTTTAAACAAGCACAGAAAAGCAGGAAATCATAAGCAAAGAAGCAATGAGAAGCAAGGAAAAGCAAGACAAGCACCGAAAAGCAGGAAAACCAACATTACAAAAACAAAAACACACAATTCAATACTCCTCCATCGCAAAATCCGGGGCTGGCGAGGGCTTTTTCACGTGTTTTTGCGCCGAGATGCCTAAGATGTCCGACTCCAAAATGGCCCAACATAGCCATCAAGATGGCCCCAACATAGGCAAGATGGCCCCAGCACACGTCAACTTAGCCGGCAACACCCCAAACCCGCACCCGCTACAACGGCTCCAACCACCACCACTTCCCTCCCTCCCTCCCTCCCTCCCTCCCGCCCATCCACTGTCCAAAAAGATCATGTCCAGCTTTTCACATGCATCACTAAATCAAGCATGATGACTTGCGTCACCAGCATCACCAACTCTTCCCCAGGCACCCCCCAAAATAGACCCGTTTGGCTGCACCTTTAGCCCACACTTTTTTGGAGCGACCCGGTCGAGCCCCCAACAACCATAACACAACCAACTCAAGACCGTACCCTCCAACAAACATGGTTACGTGGAACATGGCCCAAAAAGAAAGACTGAATTCCTCTATGAACAGGCTGTATTCCACGCAGCCATGATCGCTTCGCCGTGTCGTGCATCCTGAGCTCCTCACGCACTGATGGCGGGCCGGTTGCTGGGCCGCGGCGCCAGGCAAAGCCGGATGAGCTCCGTCTGGTCCGGATCCATCTCCGCTGGAAACCGCGGCAGTTGGCCTCCACTGAGGAGGATGGTGAGGTTGGGTGAGGTGTTGGGTTTAAAAAGTGAAACTGGGCCACAGATCAATGGAGTGCCACTGGTCTTTCAAGACTGGAAGAGATGCCAAACAGTATCAACGATGAAATCAATGAGAAATCCCAAGCAGGTCGTCGGTCGTCCGTCGCGCGAATTGAAAGTAGATGCTGGCAAAAAAAAAACATATTCTGAGCATTTTTGAGTCGTTTCCCTGGAAAATAGAAATGATAACATGTGTTCCACCTGTTGGTTCCCACTGGGGGAACCAATCTGCAGAAAATTAGTCAAAGATCAACATTTTGTGGTAGGAAGAAGTGACACACGCACAAGCCACTCAAGCCACTCACGGTTTTGCGCCTTTGGCTTTCACCCGGGGCAACTGCATTTGTCCCACATCGGAGTAGGGCAACTTCCTGCCGGTCCGAGCAAGCCGTGCGTCGGCTTACGGGGTCGCCAGAAAAAGAGAAGGAAATACCTTGACGAGTAAGACTTAGCATCTTGGAGGCGTACAACGTTCAGCCCTTATTTGTTTTGCTGAACAGGTAGGTATTCATAACTTCATAACTTACCTACCTGTTCAGCAAAACAAAGAAGGGCGGCTATATTCACACTCCCCAAATGCTTCTGTTCGATGTCTTTCGGATCTATGACGGCCGATGTGGTACCGTCTTCAGGAACGGTTTAGATCGATGTTCCTCCGAATTGGGTTCGGATCATGAGTTCCTCGTTGGATTCTGAGGTCTCGATCATCTTCCACTTCTATACCAAAACAAAGGTCCGAACAATGAGATTTATTGTATAGATATAGTTATATTCTTCCATATCCTTCCATCATCTAAAAACACCAACTCACCCCTTTGAGTACTTCTTTGTGAAGTCTTGGCCTTCCGGGATGCCGCCGGATGGTCTCGCTCTCGCTGCGAGGGATGGGCCCACGGAGCGGGCAGCGCAGCGAATGAGAACATCGATGTCCTTGGAACCCATACAGGTGAGGGGATTGGACCATGGATTTACCCATTTTTGGGCCGAATAACACATCAAAGCAAATCACCTGATCAGCAAAACGAGGACATCATCCATATATTATCCAACATAACAGAAAAACATGGAACAAACACATCCCGTGGTCAGCAACCACCGTCGGCTTCACCCTTTCTTTCCACCGTGGGACCGTCCCAACGATGTCTGGTCCCACCGCCGCCGCCGCCTGGCACCTAGCTCGAACAAGATGATTCCAAAGGAATAAACGTCCGCCTTCTCAGTGACTCCTGACCATTCGTCCGGTTCTTGTTCCGTTCCTAGCGATGCCAGTGGAGCCCCCAGTACCCGACCATTGTGGGTTCTTGATGGTTCTTTCGGAATCAATCGGAACAGAACGCGTCACGTGCTGCAGTCTTGTGTGTCCAGTGGACTTAGACTCTCTAGACTGAGCGATCCGGGAGGACTGAGCGATCGGGAGTGGCCAAATCATGCAATCATCCCCAGGTGCACCACAGGTCGAACACTTACTGACCCTTCTTCAGAACGTTTAGTAACCCTATTGGGCCACCAAGCAGCAGCCAAAAAGGTCACTCTCTGAAACAGATTCTTCCCCTTTCTTCGCCGTCGCGCGACCCCCGACGAAAGCGCCGCCGTTCCGCGGTGCGGCGCGTTCCGCCTCCCTTGTCGTCGAACATCTCGGGTGGCGCCCAGATCGGTGAAACCCCCCGCAGCGTAGTCCTCGGGGGGCGTTTTTTCGGTCGGAGCTGTTATCGGAGGGAGCTGTTCGTGCTTGTGTGTTCCCTTAGGGCCACGGAAAAGCAAAGGCGAAGAACATGTGGGGGAACAAAATGAGGTCCGACAATGGAGGGTATAATATGGTGTAATTTGTGATGCTTTGGTGGGATGTGTTCGAGCAAATCTGGTAACTCGAACTCCAGGATGTTCTATCAAAGGTTGCAAACCACGCAGTTCTTATCTGCACTCGGCCAAGGAACTGGAGTGCTGTCTGTTCTCGGATCTTTGCCAATCCAAAGTCGCAGAGCTTCGGTTGCCAAGTGCTGTTCAAAAGCACCTGGGGTGGGAGAAGCGTGGCTCACGCGCTTTTTCCTCAGGGGTGGAGGCGTGCAGCCTTGGGCGAAGTTGCATGGAGGAAGATTAGGGCCTACTCTGTTGTTCAAAGGCATCCCAGCAGCTCAGGGTGGCTGGGTAAGGGCGGTAGTCAGATTTGTGCTTCAGGAACAGCTGGCACCAAACAGCTCATGATACTGTCCAACCATCTGCTGGGAATGGTGCTTTTTGATTGGGTGACCCTTCAAGTCAGCTACCACAATTGCCAAGATCTACTCCACGCCCTTTCTCAAGCAATCATGGAAGTGGAACATTCAAGCACTAGCCAGTGGCGTGGTCCAGAGGATTTGGGAGAACTGCAGCACCACACTATCGATGTATGGAATATAGCCTATTGACCCCCGAAACCACAGGCAAATAAGGCCAGTCCCATGGATGGTCTGCGGTCTTCCCATTACGCTAGTTTTCGGAACTGCCCCCCATGACACCAAACGGGGAACGGATTTGCACGCATCCTACGCATCGGCGCTCCTTCTTTTCGCACTAACTTGGATCGTTGGGCGGCGCGCCGGCAGGCTTCCTTGGTTCAGATGTTGAAACACTCAAGGCTGACCCATTGACGGCCCCAAAAAATCAAAGGAGGTGCTCTCACCTCAGCTGTTTAAACCTTGAGAGCCGAAGACACCCGACCCAAATCTCCACCGGACCCCGATACGCTGCAGCCCTTATGCTCCGCGAGAGTGAACATCACCTGGTGAACTCTTTCTTATATTTGCATGGAGATCTAACCGGATCTAACCAAAACTGCTGAAACGGGACATGCGCCTGGCTAACATATCTAACATGAGCAAGGTGGAAAAAAACAACTTTGATCGGCAGTGCCCGGGTTTCCGGTAAAAGGCGATGTAGGCTTCCACACGCAAGGCATCTTCCCTGCGGCACGGCAGGGTGCGCGCATCGTCTAACAAGAACCAGGCCTCTTCCTGCAGCAGCGGGACGGACGAGTGTGGGAAGTTGCTCAAAGCATGGGCAAATGGAAAGAGGATCGGCAGCTTTTGGCCAAGAAATGATCTTCCACAGGAATTCGAGTTCACCATTTATGTTACCCACTCTAGGCATGCATAAGCTATATTTGGATTTAACATTCTCCTTGTCCAAGCTGAAAACGAACAACGGATTGAATCAATCTAGCCACTAGCCCCAAAAAGGGATTCCAATACATCCACAAAATCATTGTTGCCTCCCGGTGAGGGGAGGCCACGGTGAGGGGAGGCCGCGGCTTTCACTTTGGACCATCTGCCTTCACATTCAGCGTCCTCCCGGACAGTGAAGGCGCACATGTCTTGGTACTCGCATCTGCGCACATACCGAGAGGTCCTCTCCCTCTCTCTGCACAGGTCCTCTCCCTCAGCTGTTTTAAAGGGACACGGGCCATAATATCCATCGTGGACCTCTCCCAAAATTAATGTAGACTCTCGATTAATGAACGATCCCATTTGGATTAAAAGTCCTCTTGATGTGGGGGTATTATTAATATCAAGAGTCTACATTACATAATTGCCTCACAACATGTCAACATCCTTTCTGGCTTGAAACACCGACCGACGGCTCCAAAAAAGCAAGCCGGTGCACAAACACACTCCCCGAGACATGGGAAATACCATGAAATACATCTTTCCGGCCGAACAACCGTCGATAAACGATCTCTCCTTCTACTCAGCTGGTTGGAACGCGTCCAGGCCGGTGTCCCTCGTTTCCGTTTTTTTTGGGGGCCTTGGATGTATTCCTAGATGACCCGCTGAAGAGTAAAACTAATTCACCATAGGGGGAGAGGTGATGCATGAAGAGTACAACAATTACAGTATGACAAAAACACCAAGACGCCAAGAAGAAGAATAAGAAGCGTCATCATGGAGTAGAGTTATGTTATGCGTCTTGCTTCTAAACAAAAGCACTATATAATAGGTGACCGGTCCTGATTTCGGCTATCTAACCTACTCGAGCCAACGTCCTACGTCTCTTCGTCCAACGTCCTTCAGGCTGCGCCCAGCGTTGATGAAGGCCACGTAGTGGCCTCGCTCCATGCTGCCGCCCAGATGAGCGCACACCGCATACAACTCCTCGGACGGACTGTAACACCGCTGGACGAAGAAAGCTCGGTGCAGTCAGGAATGATAGACCCTTATAGTACCCAAACACGACCCATGGGGCTGCCATACATGCCTACATTGGGGTGGTTTGGGGGTCAATGTGAGCATATATGGCATACATGGAGTGTCTGGGTATAGTAGGTTGAAGGGGTATCCAAAACCACCACCCCTTGTAGGTCGCAAGCGAGTGCGTGTTTTCTGATTGAGTAAGTGGGGCATGAGGCCACATACATCTACGATTCTGATTCTACGGAGTGTCAAGTCAGAATGGGCACTGCGTTCGTTGCTGCTTTTCCACCTCAACCTCACCCGGATCACAGGTCATGCATGCCAAAAGTTGATCCAACATATCCTGGAAATGAGACGTCCTGACCTTTTCGCCTGGCTCGGGTAAGTGATCAGTTCTGGCAAAGCTTTAAGAAACATGTCACGCGGACTCAGCCTCAGCCACCCATATGCGTTTTGCAGAATTGCGCTGGTCTAAGAGATCAGGAACAAAACCGGACACTTGATGAGAAATTGTACCAGGACCGACACCAAGGGGTGTCTCTATAAATGGCTTCTTAGAGGTTAACGGGTATCCAAAAACCACCTGTTGGAAGGTCAAGTTACTTGAGCTTCTAATTAATGCGTAAGACCGGGGGTGTGGCAGCTTCAAGAGCCTGGCGTCGATTCAAGAGCCCAAAAAAGCATGAAGAAAAAGACACATTTTCACTGGGTGATCTGGAGAAACTGGGTCGCTGTATGTCGCTGTTCCTACATGTCCACCAAGCTTCGTAGACGGCGCATTCTGAGACCTCCGCATTCAAGGCTTCATGCTCCTTCTTGACCTGTGAGACGCATGAAAAGAGATGAGAACCTTCAGTCAAAATCGCTTCCACAAATGATGATTCTTGTTCAATGTTTGAGTCCTAGAAAAATGTTTGTTCAGTCCCCCTGTATATATGGTTTTGGGGCCCCTCGTCTTGCGCGCATGTGACCGAATGTGCTCCGACAAAAAGCCGAAGATGACCTCCGGGGCGGTCCAAATATGAAACCCCAGCTGGTTGGGGTTTCAAACCTTGGATTTGTTGTCCAGGAACCTTGAAACATAGAATATGTTCTCCATGCAGGACTAAACCAGTTTGGGGAAATTAACAATTTCCTGATAAGCAAAACCAGGAACCCCAGTTGACCAAGTGGGCACCCGACCAGCTTCCCAAACACCACCAGGAGATGCTTGGAAACGAACCTGCAGACCACCCAGGACCTTTGAGGAAAACACCTAAAAATGATCTTGGAAAAAGACACCTGAAAGGTTGACTGACCAATGCTTCTGAAAAAGAATATTGGGTCGACTTCAAGCCTATGTTTCCATTGGTCGAGGCTATCACCCGGCGGGTAGGAAGCGCGGAAGCGCGGACCATCAAAGCTGAAAAGAAGAGGCATGAAAATTGTTGCAAAGCAACGAAGTCGGATCTTGTACACTCCCTGGATACATCATGGAAGTGGATGGCATGGCCCCTTGGATGACCATGTTCCATCATGTTCCTCTACAAATAGGTGTTCCATGGTGTTCCACTTCCATGAGATGATTCCGGAGAGATCCGGGGAGTGTAAGTGCCAGCCTGCACAAGTGGCCTGCACACCCGGGTCCAACCATTTCAGCGTCAGCTCAGGGGTTCTCATCGTCCGATGCGGTGCAAGCAACTGTTCGTCCAAGGGGGTTGGCCGACATCACATCGCCCCAATTCCCAACGAGCGAGCGATTCGCTGCGCTGCCCGGGCAGGCTTCTGCAACAAACCGAGCATTGACGGCTCGGCCCATGCCAGCCACCAAGCAAATTGGGTCACCGAGGTGCCAAAGACTTCAAGAGTTGCTGCTCTTTGGAGGACAATAAGAGATCTGAGAGGTCTAAGGTACCTCAGCTGTGACAATCCCAGATTTTCAGTCGGCTCAGGCGAAGAAGGCGGGTTGTTACCAGCGACCCCAAAAGGTCTGACATAAAGACCAGATTGAAACTGTTTCGTGGCTTTAGGGTATCACAAGCATTGAAAACATATATATATATAATATATATATATATATAATATACATATATTGAAAGACATGGTTGATTTATGTTGCTTTGGCCTTCCCAATCTGACCCAACCAAGGCCCTCTCTGGGCCCAAGGGAAACGACGCAGCCCGGTCCAGGAACGACGCAAGACCGGTGCGTCCGACGCCCGTTCAGGGCCAAGGCCCGGGCCGTCGCCAGGGCGACGTGGTGTTTGGGAATTGGTGAGGGGGGTTGACTACTATATTTATATAGGATTATATAGGGGTTGACTACTATATAAAGATGCGTAAGCCATGCCATGAAAGGACACCAAATAGTGGAAGGAGCCCGCTCCCTGAAGCAATCATGGAAGTGGACACCTGTTGGTAGAGGAAAATGGTCATCCAAGAGGCCCCATCCACGTAATTAACCATGATTCTTTCAATCCGGTTCTGTTTTCCATGCTATGGGCTGCCCCAAATACTCTCCCAACCCACTTTCTCCAAAGCGAAGGTGCTGCTGGTCTGAATTCGGGTCTGTGACTTCCTCGGGCCGTGGCGTCATAGCCGTGGAGCCGTGGAGACTCTTGGGTGGATCGTCATATCCTGGGGTTGGGGTTGGTGTGTGATTTTCTTGGGAAACAGTGGATGATGCCCTAGGGATCCAGTCGTACCTTCTCAGAAGGTACTTGGACCCTCAAAACCTACATAAGAGTGTTTCCAATCACCTCCTGAGAAGGTACTTGGATCCCTAGGGATGGTTAGGTCGCAGGCCTTCCTCTATCTGAAGAATTGTGAGAGTGGTGTTGACCGACTGTGACAGGTAGTAGGACGCCCCCAAATCATTAACTTTTAAAGACTCTGAGTCAAGCAAGTTGTTCATCTTAATCTGTCTTCACAGCTGCTAGGGCTTCGGGCGGGTTATTGCCCCCGAGGGGGACACACACATTGTAACATAAAGGAACGATAGGCAAGGTCCTCTTGAACTGGTAAGCTCCATCCCTTTACGTAGATCATGCCGCGTCCACAAATCTACGAACCTATATAATATAAACTCTTGCGTTGCCCTTGTGTGGTCAACCCTCCACAAAAGCGAACACCCCTATTATCACGTACTAATATCAACTATCAACTCACCTGCATTGAACAACTTAAACAATTAACATACAGACGTTCAGAGCCTTTTCCGGATCCTTCATAGCTTTTTATATAATATATAAATAGAGAGAGAGATTAGATAGACTTTCAGAGCCTCATCCAAATCCTTTTCCGGATCTGACTCACCTGCAGACCCGTTCTCTCCAGCTCCAAGTCGCCGGAACGCCCCATCGCGCTCACGCCGGAAGCGCTTCAGCTGCACGGGGAGCACCGGTGGCAAGGAGCCCCAGAGCCAGGCACGTTTGGAGGCAAAGGTCCGGGATGGAGTACCTGGAGTGGGGGGGCAGTTGGTCCGGTCGCTGTCAGCGGTAGTTGGCACCACACGGCACCTGGGGTGTTTGCCAAGACGCCTTGATATTGGCCTAGCGCCTGCCTAGCGCATCATGTAATGACGTGCTTTGGAGGAGGGGAACAAACAAACCTGGTGAGGCGATGCTGGTTCGATGCTGATCAAGTTCTTTTTGTGTTTGTGTGTGGTGTGGAGATCGCTATAGATGGCTGAATGGCTGGAAAACCACGTGGCGAAAACGATGGTGTTGGAAGTGACTGAGCAGGTGGAGGGAGCTGTTGGGACTCACTCGGGTGGAACATGATGCCCACAAAGCAGCTAAGAAATGCTCAGAATGAGTGGCTCCAGGTGAAACTGAAAGATCCAGGGTGCCCCTAATGGCTACGATCCTCTAGCAAAAGTGGTGTTGTGGATCATGTTGCCAGTGAATAGAGTTGAATTCATTTTGGCTGCAGCTTGATCATCAGCACCCAAACCATCATGAATGAAGGATCCCCGGCACAAAACTGCGAGCAAAAGGTCCCTTCTGCAGCCCAGTGGCAGTGTTGGCACTTGTAGATTGCTTCGAAGGATTCCTCCAAGGCTTCAATGGCACCTCAAGGAAAAAGCAGCTCAAAAAGGATTCTGGAAAAAGTATTTTGCCCAGGTTTAAGGATCTAACCAGTTCGGGAAAATACAAAATCAAGCAAAATCACCTGATCCGCAAAACCCAGGGCACCCAAATCCCTCACGCAGTCTGCCAGCGACACCACCTTGGGCCTGCCAGCGACACCACGCTGCATTGGCGAGCGAGAAGCGAGGGCGAGCGAGAGAATGAGCCAACATGAGCCAACTGCATGAGGGCTGAGCCAAGTGAATCTGAGCCCTTTATAGATCATCAAACAGTTTCTATATATGTTTCTATCTACCTGTTCTTAGGAGGTTGGCGAACATTGGCGTTTGATGGTGAACAGGGGGCTGTGATCACCATTGGAGCCAATGTTCAAACTGCATGCACCCTGCAGTGTTAAAACATGTCAAAACCAGTTTTGATGAGGAAATGATTTTGGGCTTGCAACTTCGAGTCACACCACGTCACCAGGCAATTCCGGCGACCCAAACGCTGCCGTTGAGCCATAACTATAACCAGTGTCCAATTCAATGGACAGCAAATATCGATGCTTGGTTGCTGATCTCACTGATCGACACACAACCAAATGCTGCTCCGTTGCTCGTTCCCCACTCCACCAATCCGAACTGGTTCAAACGGAAGCCTTAAGGCCAATGTAAATATATAAATGAATTCTGACAATATAGTCATCATAAACTATACATCTAAACCTTGCCTTCACACAAATCCCATAAATATCAATGAAACTTCCCACCATCCCCATCTTGCCTGGGCTTGGTCTCAAAAAGCTCCCTCAAGGGTTTGTCCAGAGCTGCCACGCACTCCTCCGCGGCACGGACCATCTCCACGCGCGGCCCCTCAGCGCCGGCGCCGCGCGCCGCGGCCGTGCCGCTGGCAGCGTCGGGCCGAGCGCCGAGGGCGCGGACGGAGGCCTGACGTTCCTTGGAGCGCCGGAGCTGGAAGATGCGCCTGAACCGCGCGGGGGCGGTGTGGCCCGGAGTTCGGCCACACGTGAAGATCGGAGTTCGCCACCCCCATGAACTCCCAGAATTGGTTGAAAGGAACATCTACAGGAGACGTTTTCACATGCTTTCACCCGGACAAAAGCTTTGGGTGTTCAGTGTTAGATGTTCCTTTCACATCCTTTTACTGATTAAATCAGTTCTGGGAAGAACGTGACTCTCTCTGCTTCTTTCATAAAACAGGGTTTCTGCATGTTTCTGCCTTGGTTGGGTCCTCATTGGCTTGACCTGTTGGAGGATTCCAACATGCAAAAGGAACAGCTTCTACCTTCTACGTACCTCCTTTTATACCAAAACTATCGGGGGTTGGGTCAAGGGTGCCCACTTCCAGCGTGAAGGAAGTTGCTCTCGTGCTCGTAGCGAAGCAGAGCGGATTTTCCCAGTGCAGTGCTGTTTGTAGAGGAACTCGTGGGTTTCCAAGGGCCAATTGTCCACTTCCATGATGATTTCAGGGAGTGTAAGACTTCTGTTGAATGAGCTGTTAATTTCTGGGTCGACCTGGGCACTAGACATGACATGACAATGACCTGTCCACCTGGGTCACAAGGGAACAAAACCCTGCAAATACATGCACATCTTCTATGGATTCTAGTCATTCTAGGATGCCCCCTGCATGGTGGCCGTTTTCCCGCGCAAAAAAACATGCGCAACGCTTGCGGTGTCGCCTGCCACTGGAGGACGCCTCCTGAAGCAGCGTGTCGCCCAGCTCCACACACAGATCCTCTTCCCCTCGTGAGCGACACACCAAGTTCCACATCGCCAGGGGAGATCCTCAGCCCAGGGTTTTCAAAAACATATCCCGGCAAGAGACCCCGTGATCTAAGCACAGCTGCTTAACTACTACCGTAAGAACCCCTAAGTGTGTCCATACTGTTTGGGGATTTATATTCTGTTGACGCCGAAACTTGGTGTCGGTGTGCACCAAGTTTAATGGAATCACAGAAAAACATGGTATTGGCGGATGGTCACCCATGACAAGAGCCTCCAAAGTTTCGTGTGCTCGTCATCCCGATATAGTTTGAATATGGTTGAACTTAAATGGCTCTCACTACCATCTAACACTTGCCTTTCATGCCCAAAGCCTGCATGGCTTTGACCTCGCTCACGCGCCAGCTCTAGGTTTTTGAGTTTCACTGAAGGGGCCGAAATACCTCCGGATCACGGCCAGCTCAGCGGCTCAGTCTCACTCGTGATCATGCCTTCCTACCCCGGCCGTTTGAAGCTTGTTTTGGGCATCGTCTCGAACAGAACAGCTCGTGTCTTCACGCCGCCGCCCCTGGTGTCTTCACTGAAGGACCCCAGGACCCCGCGCGTCTCTGACCGTCTCTGACCTGAAAAGCTCGGTCCCTGACGTCGTCGTCGTCGTCCCTCTGACGTCGCCCCGCCTTCGTCGATGCCTTTCACACGCTGATGCTCCACTTGGAAGCCGAAAGGCCCCAAGGAGTCCTCCAAAGCCACCTGAAACAGGTGCACCAGTCGACTGGAACCGCTATGCGGCTATTCGACAGGTCGAAGTGGTAAGGTCGGGTCAAAGGGTTTCAGTGATGTCCATCGGCGTGAGTCCATATGCGGATGTCATGGAGTATATGGGTTATGACGGTTATGAAATGGTATGAAAACTTGGGGACAAAACCAATCTCTCTCTCTCTCTACAGCACTGCCAGTCCAGCTGTCTGCCAGTCCAGTGGGTGCGTAAAATCGAAACAACACATGAAACCGGACGCTCTGCGGAGTGAAGGTGGCCTGATGGCAGAGGTGATGGCGGACAAGACCGGTGTTTCATGAAGGATGGCAGACGTGCTTGCAACTGAGCCTGGACCAAAAAGTCTCATTGCTTAATAAGCACACTGCTTCTATGACCAGGCCAACCACCTGCTCACGTGGTCAGACCAATTTTAGATATTTTGAGACTCAATTGGTTTCTTGTGGAAGAGCCCGACACCAAAAGATCTGTTATGATCTGCTGTAGTCATCTGCAATCCTTACCAGTCCTTACATCTCCTGGAGATGCCGGAGTGATGCCAAATAAATGTTCTGTCCAGTGCGATGACATTTTCTCAAAAACCCGTGGTTGCGACCTGTACAAACCTGTGGTGGGAAACGATGACGACAGGATTACACATCTGTGCACAACGGGTAGTGTCGTGACTCCTGGCTGTTTCAAGGCTTTCTGTTTTGTGTCACTTTCTATGTGGCATGTTCCGTGTTTCAACGTGGTTGCTACTCTGGTAGAACTATATAATGGACGAAACCGCTGTGAACTCGTAGCCAACAAGAGATCTATCCACTAACTTCCCAGTAAAGACCTTGATGATGCAGGTGATGAAGCTCCAAATGAAGCAATGTAGCCTACCATAAAAATGAAACACAAGCAGACTGACGCTCTGCCCCCCCAAACCCGCGCTAAACTCACTTCGCTCGCAAAAACTAACTTGAGCCTAGTCTATCGTGTGGGCCAATGTCCACATGTTCTCAGGGTCTGCAAGCAAATCTCTTCACCTTCTTGGAGAAGTGTGTCCTAAACTTACTTCTTCTTCGATCACTGCTGAGAGCTTCACAGCCAAAAAAAGTGGCTCATTAGGACTCATTAGTATATATATAAACCAAGTCTGTCTCGGTCAGTGCACACGAGACCTCAATGTTTGGCAAGAACCACCAGAAACGTCCCGCCGTCTCGTGTGCTTCTTTCGGTCCGAGACGGCGGAACGACCGAGGTTCCACCGAAAGGAAGCGGAGACAAAACCCAGACCATCCATGAAGACTGGAATATATACCGAAGTTGAAGAGGTTCTTGCCTGTGGGGAAGATAAATAGATATATATATATATACCTACCAGGACCGAAACCAAGTTCGGTGGTTTTGGCACACCTAACCTCTCACCTCAGCCAGAGGCTATTTATAGACACCTCTTGGAGGTACATGGCATCGGTCAATAGACCAGTCCTATGGATGGTCTGGGACATGAAGCAAACAGTCCGGAATCATTGGCCATGTCGTGAAGATATTCCTGGTCAGCAACCTGGTTGAACATGGTCAACACAGGGGGCCCTGCTGATTTTTTGCGAACATGAACAGCCCCCTCATCCCAGGATCAAATGATGTCAACCGAAACCATGGTTTGTAGATGTTGGTAGGTGCCATGACTCCGTGACCCACTGAAAAAGCCACCAGGACCCCTGCGCCTCGAACTGGGCCTCCGCATCTTCCGCTCTTTCCGCGCCAGCGGGATAACCGCCCATATACGCGTCGCGGTCCCCTGGCTCCAGAAGAATGCCTTGGAGGAAGCGGCTCCGAACCTGGGAAAGGAAAAAAACATGTTCCCGACAAAAGGATTGAACCATGAACCATCGGAAAAATACAACAAAAAATCATATCAAGCAAAACCAGGATGCTGTTCTTCTGTCGGGTCTGGCTTTGCAAGGCCTTGACCATGGCCTGGCTGAGAAGCTGAAGCTTGCAATCCAAATCCACAGAAAGCATTGGGTGATCCAAAGGATTTGTTTGCTGTATAAGTTATATAACTTATATAAACCATGTTATAACCATTTATAACAGGATTTGCTGCCATGCTATATAATATAACCATTGTGTTCTCAGAATGAATGGACCTGGAACGTCTGAGCTATTTGCTTTGCAGAAAGGCCTATAAACAAACTTCGCTCAGTTTCAGGTTCCTGTTGCTTGCGGGCTATGTCCCTATCCAGAAAGCATTAATTCATCGAACCAACCGGACTCTCCAAAACTTGAATCCGACTTCCGAGTGTCTCCACCAGCCCCGGTCGGGAACATGAAGCGCTTTTGTCGCGGGGAGTTGTTCAGGCGAGACGGTCGATCCATTGGATGTGCTTCGTTTCGACCCTCCCTGGAACAATCATGGAAGTAGACAATGGCCCATTGCACGACCATTTTCCGCACAAACAGGCGCTTGTCCACTTCGATTCTTGTCAGGGTAGGCCGTAGGCCATTTTCTGGAAGCCACAAATCTTTGCATGTGTTTGCCCACTGCGGGGGGCAGGCTGAGCATGGAGTTACGCGTTGATGTTCGGAGGCCACATAAAGCGAGCGGCAAAGAAAGAAACGCTACGTGTCCCATGTGTGTCCCGCGTGTGTCCTGCACCGTGCCTGGACGTTGTCGCTCTCGCCGTTCACCGAGAGGATGCGGTCGCCGGGGTGGACGACCAGCTTCGCACGGCTGCCCATCGAGCGGCAGCGGAGGTTCCAGGCGTCCTTGGAGCGAAGCCGGGTGAACACACCGAAACGTTCACCGGACCGGGGGAAATACGTCATGGCCCAACCACACGACCTATATATATATATGTATATATGGGACTGCCATAGATGTGCCGATCAGTTGGGGTGCTTCTGGGGGGGGTCAATGTGTATATAGGTATATGCGGCATGTAAACAGCATATATTTAATATTCCGCACATATTCCATACATGGAGTGCCTGGGATAGAAACATCTAAAAATCACTAGTCACTCAACCATCAACGCCAAGCATCCAACAAGGAGTCCGGGTGGATCTGGGCCACAATCAACCTGACCCCGCGGGGGCTCGGGTGAAACGGATGGCATTGATCCGCTCTGGGTGAGGAGAGGTCTTGGGAGTCGCGGGCATCTATGTTTGCCCAAACGAAGCTTGGAAAAAAGGGGTGCTGGAGTTGTTCGTTCACGCCAGGACACGTCGATCCCACCATCTCCAAAGCCTTCTGATCGAGTTGGAAGCCCCAAGCCCTTTTGGAGCCAGTCTCTCGTGTCAAATCCTCGGCGGAGAGGTGTGAACATGTGTGAACGGCATGTTAAGGTCACGGATGTAAAAGTGGGAGAAGGGGCTGAGCTTGTTCCTTTGATGCTGCTTAACAGTGTTCCAACTCTTGTTTGGTTTTCATTGGTTTGCCAAAACTGCTCAGCTCTCAGTGACTTCATGTGGCTATTCATCCATGATCCATCAGAATTCATATTTTGGCATGTTTGCAACATCTACTCTCAAATACCTGCCACCAAAAATCATCTCCGAGAGGCACGACTATGGGTTGGTATGTATTATCCCAGTTGTTGGTTTTGCATCTACATGATTCTTGCAGGCCATCTGATCTGATCAACGTAGTCTGTGACAAGGCACAACTAGGGTTCCCAAAGGCTTTCTAATTAGCCCATAAATTGTACACAGAGCGAACCTAAAGCATCTTCTTCAAATCCCTGAGCACCCCTGTTCCAGAGTTGAAACAGCTTCAAGCCCTTCAAAAATTGTGCTGCCCAGGTCTCCACTTGGAAGCCCTTGGCGCTTCCCTGCGTGGCACCAAAGCGCCGCATGACCTCTTCAGGAGCAAAGCGTAGGGACAGCTTCGCCTCATCCTTCAAGATCTGCATGATCTCCTCATGATCCTCCTCCCCTCAGTTCCGGCGCGTTGAGGGAGCGAAACGGTCCGACAAGCCTCACTCACTCCACTCACTCAGCGAAACGCTCCGAGGCACAACGGCAACGATTTGGGGGATGAAGACATGCAAAGCCTTCTTGATCTGTAAGACTCCAGACTAAACTTTACTGAAGCCCTAGAAGTCCAAAGACTATATGTTGACTGACTGAAGTAAAGGAAATTCCTTTTCGGGTCACCTAAAGAGCATATTCTTTTTATAGTCTTTGACTCTCAGGGTATATATTATGCATATCATGTCTCATTGAGGATGGGATATCAACAGCATCCAGTTCAGCCTGTTGCCCAAAAGACGCGCCCGATGTTCGGCCAGTTGTTCCGGTGGCTTCGTCTGCCGTTTCCGGACTTCACTTAGCGATGGTGACAGCTACGGAGCAAAGCAACAAAACCTCAAGTGGGTTGTACTTCTATGTTCTCCGTAAGCCCAGAAAGGGTATGAAGTGATCCTTAACCCATTGTATGTCTGTATGTGCTGTGCCTCTCTGCCGGATCCGGCTTAGTGGGGCTCCCTTGAGTTTGTTTTGTTCTTCTCTGGCCATGCGCACACATGCGCATCACCCATGCTCCCTGCCCAAGGGCTCCAGTGCGGCCAAGTGACCATTGACTGAGAGCAATAAAAGCCCAGGAGTCCTTGGAGCGAGGAACAAGCCCCTAGTAGCATCCTTGCTCCCAGTAGTAAGCACATGGTTTTTGAGGTCAATGGGTGAATGGGCGGTGTTTGGGCTATTTGGGGCTACATGGGATACATGTTTGGGCACTGAAAGAGGAGACAAAGACTCCAGACTTCTCACATACCGCTCTCCACTCAACAGAACACTTTCAGGACGCCGGACCTGCTCAACGTGCCGCACGTGTGCAGGTGATGTATATACCAGCACCTCCAAGAGGTGTCAATGAATAGCCTCTGGCTGAGGTGAGAGCTTAGGTGTCCAAAAACCACCGAACTTGGTTTCGGTCCTGGTATATCATCTCATGATATCTCATGTCATCTCTCACCATCGCCCCGAAGTCCACACCCATCGGGGAAGAAAAGAATCGGCGACGTATGGCGACGTTGAGACGTTGATCCTCGTTGATCCGAGATGCAGCCGGCGGTTGAAACGCTTGTTCCACTGCTCCGCCAAGCTGTTGGGATGAATCCGTCGCAGAACCTTGCCTTGGCCGTGTCAAGTTTCACACATGAGTTGAAACACACGAGCTGAGCGACTTCAATTTGTCAATGCTGAATCGGTTGTGGATTCACCTACGTCTGTCCACTATCACTATAGGTCCATGGGAAGAGGAGTTGTTCCTTTACAAAGAGGGGGGTGGGCTCCACTTCCATTCACCGTGTAGTATAGGCCGCACCCTTCATTCACCGTTGCTCCACCCGCAAGCTGCGACCTTCCTGCACGTAACGCTACAGCCAGGCGTCACTGGTGCACGGGCAGCTCTTGCCATTCGAAGCCCAACGCGATCCGTCGACCCGGCACTCGCTCCAACTGGACCTCGATGACATGTTCTTCCAGGCTCTCGGCCGCTCGTTCAGCTTCAGCACCATCGGCCTGGAGTTGGAGGAACTGTGTGTGAAGTGGAAAGAGCGGAAGCACCCAGCATCTGGCAGCATCTGGCATCAGCCCCAAGAAACGAGGCCCAGGCCAGTACAAGGGCAGCAAAGCAGTGAAGAATCCAGTTCTTGGGATGAGTTCTACTGCAGGCCCTTCAGTCGAATGATAGATCTCTCACAGGAATTTCCCGGTGGATTCGCCGGATGGAGCAGGTTGGCTTGCAGCCTGCTCAGCAGATGTGTGGCTTCTGCTTGGCCAGACATGGTTTGGTGGAGGTTCTGAGGAGTCGGAGCGAAACCATACAAGACATACTACTTGCTGTTGATTGGTTGGGGGATGGGCACACCGGGATAATAACTTAGTGGTGTGTGAACTCATCACTCCTGCCAAGATCTTGAGGCAAAAGGATGTATAACTGAGCACAACATTCATCTGCTGCAACTGCAGGACTGCAGGGGGTGGATAGAAACTTCTCCAAATCAACTGCTCTATTCGCTCTATTTCTCCTCCTTCCCCCAGAACTCTGCCTCTTCCCCAGAAACGATGCGTTCTCTCCCAGCGCCTCTGCCTCTTCATCCACCTCTTCCTCCTCCGGCGATGGCATGGGTTGCATCACCCAGCCACGCAGGCCCAAGGGCCCCGGAGCCGGATCCTCCTCAGAGAGGTCCTCAGGGGCGGAGGCGGTGGGCGGAGGCGGTGAGGCCCGTTTTGGTGTCTGGTGTCCGTGTGTGAATATGTGTGATTATGTGCATATATATTAATATATACATATATATATATATCCAAACACTCCATGGGACTGCCATAGGACTGCCGCCGCATTGACCCCCAAAACCACCCCTGGCCTGATCGGCAGTCCTATGGGATACATGGAGTGTCTGGGGTATGACTCAATTATTGAATAATACCTATAACCTCTTCTTGGGCAAAAATTTCTGCCCCCTGTAGGCGTTCTTGTCCCCTCTGGGCATTCTCGTCCTTTTGGTATCTTTTGGTGGCATTGCTGAAATAGATGAGGATCCACCCACCACTGATTCCAGGAACCTTCATAGTGAGGTACATTTGTTTGTCATGAATTCACTTAATGTTCCTCTTGTGATCTCTTTGGTATGTTTTTCGTTTTTCTATGCATTGATTCATTGCTTTAATATCTGTTTGCAAGGTGTTATTCCCGTCACTTAGGCGTTCTTACCCGTTACTTGGGCGTTCTTGCCCATTACTTAGGCGTTCTTGGCCGTTCCCCCCTCACTACAATCAGTAGTTGGGTGGACAACGGAATGGTAGCCTTTTAGGGGGAGTGAGCGACATGAGTTTCAATAACTTTAGACTGGGGATTAGCTTCAAGTGTCTGGCGTTTGTTTTCTCAATGTTTGTTCATTCAATCATTCAAATTCTGGCTCTGCCTCCTGCATGTAAGAATGCATGTGATTGTGCCTCGGCATTTTTGACCCTCGAGGCTGTAGCTTAGGCGTTCTTTGCAAAAACGGGCTGAATTTTCTGCCTCAATGGCGTGGGGCGGAAATTATTGCCTAACGAGGTTCCAGGTATGAGTCTTATTGACCAAGCGGTTCCGAAGCCAAGAGGTACAGTATAGTACAGTGATACTTACAGTGATATACCGTGATTGGGTATAGAGCCCTGCTGCTGGGGGTATTCTTCAATCCCCTCTTGAAACAACTCCGGCTGGTGCATGAAACAAGGACCGCACGTTGCCTGTGGCTGGATGGTTTGAGGTGTAGGATTTCTTCCATCCTTTTGGGGATTATGTGGGAGAAGAAACTCACATCCTCTGCTCAGCCAAGAACTCCAAGGAAAAGTCCAGGAAGAACTCATGGCGGAATGAGATCTCCCGGCAGGACCTCACGACGCAAAGTGTGCTGCTTTGGGTCTAAGTGTGCTGCTTCAACATCTGCCACTGGGAAATCATGACAAACCGGCTTTTTCACGAGAATGTCAGGCCATGATTAAGGACTCCCCCTAGTACTGTACCAAGGCCGTATTAGTTTGCTCCGCCTGGGTCCTGCCATATGAATCGCATGTCCAAAGACCTTCTGTAGTGCATTTTATTAACATCACCATGGCTCAACATGAGCCAACACAAACCAGGTGGCCCAGGATCGATGATTTCTGAGCCAAGGAACCAGCACAGGATGGCCTCGCACATTTGTCCTCGAAAGCTCCGATGCACCAACTGCTGCAGCGTCTCCTTGTCCTCCTTCACCTCTTTTTGTTGGGCGAGACCGACGCCGGGCTTCGCGTGGGCTGCACGACCGTCTCCGATGACGAGACGCTGAGGACGCCGTGCAGAGCTGTCTTCCACGTGGAACCGCGGCAAAACCGACGGAAACACCGCTCGAAGGGACGGTCACGGAGTCAACGACTCGGGCGGTGTTTTGGCATGTTTGTCATCCGCCCCGTGTAACGAGGGCTCCAAACATGGTCGGTGGCCGCATCCTGCGGCGTCCCGGTGACGAATCACCCGAAATCGTCCTCTCGCCGGCGAGAGGAGTTCCAGGAGCCTCGAACCAAATAGTGAGAAGAGGATTGAGCCATTATAGGGAAAAAGATAAAAACTCAACCTGATCCACAAAACCAGGATCAGGGCTCTGACCCGATGCTTTGGGCCATTTTGGGCCTCCCTCTCATCGGCCAAGGCTGCCAGTAGCGTGCGCAGGAGCTCGTGGGCATCTTGCTGGGACTTGCCGCGGTACCAGCTGTACCTGCCCCACTGGATTCAACAATCTGCCGGACAAACCCTTTTCTCTTCCCGAGAAATCACGAGTTTCCATCAGTTGATCCATGGATGTAGAGATATGTAGAGGCTCCTCGAACTCTCCACCTGGTGGTTTTGAGTGGGTTGTCCGGTTGTCCCTGAAAAAATCACCAAAGAGGTGACCTGCAGGTGTTTGTACGTGGATCCACTCTTCTTGGCTAGGATTTGGATCCCCCAAAACTGGCCTGATCTTCACCACCCTTCTGGAGTTTGTCAATTTTTGGGGCCACCTTCATTCAGGTTTGGGTCTCAAAAGCACCGATATTGGAGCCTTCTGGTCGAAGATTCATGAAACGTTGGCAGCTGACTAAAAATGATTGACATCGCCGAACACAAAGGGGCACAGTGCGGACAGTCAAGTAACAAAAACACCAACACCAGGTGTGGGCCCTGGCTTGACCACTTTATAATATATATATATATTATTGGATTTGTTGATCCGCCCAATCTCATCCCAATATCGGTTGCATGGTGAACTCGGTATTTGGAGCCCCTTGTGGAATCCATTCCCTCTATACCAGCTTCCAGGGTTCGCAAAACCACGAAAATCAATTCACTGCCTAAAGCATTGAGGGGCCAAACAACCCCCACACCTGGCCGCCATCGCGGATGCCAGAATCGTGTTGCAAGGGGTTGTTTAAAACACGTTGAATCCTTTTGCGTTGCTGTGCTTGTCCAAACGCTATGTCTCTTGAGCTTGAGCCCAAATGATCTCCCCTGTTCTTGCGCCCACACCTTTCACCCACCCACCCGCCTTCCGCCCCTCCCCAGCACCCTTCCCAAGGTGCCCCCGTCCTCGCCTCTCGGCCAACTCTCCCAGAATCTCCTCCACCGAGGCCTCCTCTGCCGAGCGCAGCTGCTGCAGCACGCGCCGCAAGGCGCCGCCGATGCCGCCCAGGCGGCCTGGACCAGCGGATGGGACGGAGTGGGGCGGAGGTCGGTGTGGCAAACGGAGGAAAACGCATTGGAGTAAGGAGGTCAAGGACGCACTTGAAAACAAAACATGTGGCCTTGAAGAGGTGTGTTTGGTGCTGAAGTTGCTTTTGGTTCTTCTCACTGGCAGGTCAGGGCGCACTGAACAATAAGGAACATATGGTTTTCAGAGTATTCCACAAGTACCTCACCATGTGATGTAGAAGTCTTCCTTCCATATATAGTACTATAGTGTTGTATATATAAATGTGTATGTGTATATATATATATATGTGATATATGTATGTATATGAGCAAATGGTTTTGACATGTTTTGACACCAGGTGTTCATCAATCTAATCAAAACTGCTTGCCTTTCTTGCTGGCACATCTGAGTTCAAATCTTCTCATCATGGTCATGAAACACCTGGCGAATCCTGGTGTTAACATGTTTTGCAGGTTTTGGTCTGTGAAAGCCTTTCTTCATGGCTCATATTCACACATGTGATCATGTGCTATATAGCTTTGCTTTTACCTTGGGATGCAAGCATCAGCCACACATCATGCCTCCCAACACTCTGTTGGCACTGGTCTAGAAAACACCACTTGTTTCAACCCGATGGCGGCCATCACAAGGGGACATGGTGTGTTTCTTGCGAAGATCTTGAGCACGCCGGTGTGAGGTGCAAATCCTAGATCAGGATTTGATGACCATGACCATGTCATGGGCTGTGAGGTTCGTCACCTCCTACCATCCTAGACCATCATGCGATACCATCTGTTCGGGCTGCGAGCTGCGTCCTAGACCATCACAGATCTTCGTTCGAAGGAGTCTCTTGGTCTCTTGGTCTCTTGCGTTCAGGCTCCGGTAGGCATCATGGAGCCTGATCATTGGAGCTTGCCACAAAAGTACTGACAGGTGCTAGTGAGAAAAAAATTGGGAAAAAGGGAGTGAGCTCCCAATAGAGATTCCTTTGGATCCATTCCCTCATTCCCTATCAACACAAGTCAGAGTAGCGTGGGGTAGTCCAACACCCACGCTGAAAGTCATGTGCAAGTGCTCAGTCATGGGGTGCCCCATGCCGGGATCTGAAATTTGCATCCAGTCAGTCTGATGTGCCCAAAAAGTTGCACAAGGAGAGCAAGTTGTCTAGATACTGACAAATTATAATCTAGTCAGGGTTATGTTGGAGAAATATCTGACTGAGAAATAGAAAGCTTGGTCAGGAAACTCTTCTTCTGTCATGTTCTTGGCATTGGGGTGGGCAAATCCTATCACAGATCCGCCATCACCATCTGCCGGGTTCGCCAGCCTTCGGGCGTTAGCGTGAGCTCTTGAGAGAAGTTCTCCGTCTGCGCCAAGCATTGCAACACGGAAGCTAAGAAGCAAGTGTTCCCCAAGTTGCTTAAGCCTGGCGTTCGGCTCCGCAAGCTCGCGACAAACGCGCTATAGCGCTCGCACTCTAGACTCTATAGTTCGCTGCTCCGGCGGAGTCCAGAACCCGGTCGGGGGTGGCATGCGGGTTGGGGCTCAGGATGGTTGGGGGTGTCGATTCGAAGATGTGATTGAGTGTGAATCAATTGATCAATGATGCCGAGAGCTGGCAAACGAAAAAGAAAACAAAGCCCAAATCCAGCACCCTACAGCAGTACTCAAATAAAGAAATACCATGAAAGACCCCTTCTGTGGAATGCTGCCACTACCACGGCGCTGATGACAAGATCTCGCAATGATATCAAAGGGGCTGAAACTCCTAAATCAATGGTCCACCCAATGGCAGCAAACAACTGTTGTCTGGTCAAGGTGCAGGTTGTGGGGGTGTCTGAGAATGTTCTTTTCCTTGGTTTTAGCCACAAGCCTGGGAGTGTTAGTCTTTGACGGACGAACTTCGCCGAGGGCTGCCCAAACTTCGCTCAGGAAGTCCCACTGAACGCTGAAGATGCATTCATGAAAGGTGCAAGATGTGATGATGTGATGTGTTATCCAACCGCGATCACCCTGTATCACCCTGTCTGAGCCTGTCTGTTGGTTTCTGAACTGTGTGGTTTTGGCGATCGACCGGTCCGTGTGAGAAACAGCGAACCGGGGTCAGGGAGTTCTGTGAAACGACGAAGAGCCGAAAAGCATCCCAACCAGCTTGCACGAGGTTGGAATAGGAGGTTCCACGCCTCTGGCTCTCTTTCTTTCCAGCTTTGATCCCATGGTTTTCCACGGTTGTTCCCATGGCGAAAACCTGTCCCCGTCTCCGAAGCCACGTTTTGGAAAAGGGATTTGGTGCCCAGTGAGGCCAGCTGTGAAACCTCTAGCCTCTGGGCACATGTCCATCGAAGTCTGCAGGAATTACGCCACAGGAACTCGTCACAAAGCCCCTTGCCTGAGCCAGGAAAAAGAAGCGCTTCAAACGGCATCCGGAAGAGCTCCCGCACCAACTGGCATATCTGCAACCCTGGTTCTTCACATTCTTGGCATCTTTTGGTTCAACTGGCCAGGGCGGCCGATGATTTTTCAAAGCCAACTTGCTGGACAGATCCGCCAGAAAAAGCCTGAAGCTGTTGTCGTTTTTGAATCCCATTTTCTGCCTGAGAGATCAACCAGTTCCCTCAAATGTCCTGGAAATATACGGCTTCATCAAACGTTCCACCTGTTGACATCTCAGTGGGAAAACACCCCAAAAAATACAGTAGGTTTTGTGCAGTTAATCCTATGTGATTCACTTTTCCTGGGCCTAGGGCTCCAACCACCTCCGTTTCGAAGATGGGCCAGGGGTGGGTGCCAGGGGGGTCTAACCACCGAACCTGAGGAGATGGGCCAGGAGCCCTAGGGTGGGTGGGCCCCATTTCTTCTTGAGAAACACCTGCTCATCCGTCCCAGTGACCTGCTCATGAGCCTTCACAAGCACGGCTTCCAGCTCGGGGCCAGTCAAAGCCTTGATCAGCCTCAGAAAACTGCACCCCACGGCTGGAAGAAAAACAGCTCCTTTTGCACATGTTCTGAGCATATCCCATACACGACCCATGGAACTGGATATATATGCCGCCCCATTGACCCCCCAAACCACCCCAATGTAGGCATATATGGCATACATGGAGTGTCCGAGTATTGCAGACTCTTGCGGGTATTTCAACGCATCGAAAGAAGAGGTTTTGCCCTCCATGTTTGGGGAGGTCATGGGAGGTACATCCATCGTTGACATAAGGGATCATCACCCCTTGGTCTGATCATAACCAGGTCCCTGATCATAACCAGGTTCTGATTCTATCTGTGCCATTCACACTGAAGAGTTGGCAGTTTGGCTCAGAAGGGGTTTGCCTAGGGAGTTGCAGTTGACCCTCAAAAAGAATGTCTAAGGCTAAGGGCCATGTGGGGTAGCCCATTGTGACCTCTTCCCCGGCTTCCGTTGACTGAGCTGCTCCTCCGGCGTCTCGCTGCCCAAAATGCGTCGCACTTCGGTGCGCAACACTGCGTCCGCGCCCATGGCAGCAATGACTAAGCGATGATAAACATGTAGAATGAGTAGTACTAGTACTAGCGATGGCCTCCAACCTACTAGTAATGATAAGAATGGGGCCACGTCGTGAAGAAAACATCAGGATGTTGATCTTTTTCCTGACCAGGGGTGGATTGTGCCATCTACTCTGATAGGTAGGATCCATGTAGTCAAATGACTATACTTCCTTTGGATGTTTTCTGTGCGACTGATGGGGGTCAGCCCTTATGTTCAAATGGGCTGCTGGATCAAGGTTGACCCTGCTCTAACGCTCTTCACCCAACACTGGGCCTCATCTACAGGCTGTATAATTTGGGTCCAACCTGTTGTTCTACTAGAGCTGTTGCTTGAAGTATTTACAAGGGCTCAAACTTTGAAGCAAGTGCGGTGAGTCTACCCTGCGTAAGCACAATTTCACAAGCCAAAACTGCTGCTCATGTGCAGTCCATATCCTAAATTAAATAGCACCCTCCAGGTGTTGTTGATCTAAATCTAATGGTTTTGGTGATCAAACATGTCATCCATTCAACACACATCGACCCAAGATCCAAACCAACGAAGACCTCGTCAAACCAAGTGCCTTGTGGGCGAACACCGGCTTAGGGTTCATTTCGGGGCCACCACGATCCCAAAACAGCGGCACTGACAACTGTGTCTTGCTATTCTAACCTTGAAAGAGTCAACCACACGTCAGCCAGAATAGCGGCTGCCACAGGGGTACTGTTTCTTACGTTCTTCTCTCTGTACCAGCCCATGTCACTCGCTACCCGTCCACGACAACGGGTGGTGTCCGCCCATCCGTCCGTCTTCGCGCCGGTGTCAGGGCACGTTGGGCGACTTAAGGTCGAGGTGTAAGATTTTGACCTGGCAAACCGGTGAGGGCGACCAGCGTCCGCTTGGGTAGCAGTCCGCTTGGAACCTTGAAAACACCAGAGCCAAATGGAGCAAAGGGTGTGTCCAAGACCGGTGCTGAGGACGTCCCAAATAGTTTTTTGTGTTAGTGTTTGTGTTTGTTTTTTTTGGTTGTGGCTCTTGTTGTGCGAGGTTTTGTGCTGCATATGCGTATATATATAATACATGTTTTAGCTAGACCAGGGTTTGGTTGGTGCAAGGACCTCAGGATGTCGACGGACCCTTCTGGAGCCCAGAGTCTTCATGGATTTCTCTGCTCTTGAGCCTTAACTTGGCCCGGGGAAAAAAGAAACAATCGCTTCAGCCCTTCACCTTTGGAACCCGGCTAGTCAGGGTAGTCCAACTGGGGTTGCAATGAAACACATGGATCCAGCAACGCTGGCAGCCAGGTCCCCACATGCCCCCGGGACCCATGAAGGAGGTGCATTTGGAATAGCAAATGGTCTTGCCTTCTCAGGGCCACGCAAATAACGTCCTAAGCATTGAAGTGGCACTCCATGTCCCCAACCTTGTCAAACGCTAGACCTTCCCTCATTCATACCAAGTTACAACCTCAGAAAGGCAAAATCCTTGGAACAACACGCATATCTTTGGGTATCTATATGCACACGGTTAACAAACTAAGTATAACAACAAACCCAACAAAACATGTTCCCAACCAAGCCACAAAGGGAACATGGTCTTCCGACCAAGACCTGTTCGCAAAGAACTCGTGTGGGATTTCCGGTGCGCATCGCGCCGAGTATCTCCTGGTCTTCCCAGTCGGGAAAGCTTGCCGCGACTGATGCATGTGTCCGATGCATTCCTGGTGTCCACTGCATGTGCCTAAAAAGTGAACCTCTGAGATCAATTAAGCCAAGGTCAATTTCTGAAATCCTCCAAGCCGCATGGAACTTGAACACATCATATGCATTCACATGAAATACCTCAGGCAGTCGAACATGATGATGTTCTACGACGTGGCTTTCACGAGGTTGAACAATTTAAAATACCTTCCTGTCTTGCTAGGCTTTCACCCCCCCAGAAGCCCCCAGCTGATCTGGGCCCAAGTTGCGTGGTGTAAGTAGGCCACCTGCGGCGCATCGGGCGTGGCTCCCAGCGTGAGGCTGGTCACTTCGGCGCCTTTTTTCGGGCCAAAGAGTCAGTTTCACCAAAGATGGCACTCTTGAGATCTTGATATATATCGCCAGATCGTATGCCAGAAGGTCTGATTATTTGTCCAACCACCACAAGCCTGAAGAGGTTTTGCGTTGTACAAATCCAATCAAGTCCATGTTACAGGGATTGATTCATCCAGATTCGGCATTTTGGGCGGGACAACAAGTCTCGGGTGTAAAGCGCTGTTCGGTTTACATGGATGGGCTGGTCCGATGCGGCTGGTCCGACATGGACTTGGGCTTCACTACTGGGGTTGCTTGCTGTTGTTGGTATACTTGAGAAGAGGCAAACACGAAAGGTAGGACAGCGGGAAGGGAATAGACGCATGTAAAACATGCATTGTCAGCTATTCGGAGCAGGAGATGAGCAGTGGTATAAAACGTGGTTTGATGTAAACGGTGGTTGGTGTGAAACATGGTTTCAGAGCTACTTGCTGTTGTCGCAACAGCAGATTCGAGCTGTCGCAGTGGAGGCACCGCGAGAAACCAGATCTGAGCCGCCGTTGGGCCGAGCTTTTGTTGACTCGCGGCCCACGTTGCGCAACGCTCGCAAACCAAATGACCCACATCGAGGTGATCCACTTCGGGACGGAGCGGTGCCGGGGGGGGTTGAATTGAACTATATCAACTATTAGATCCGGAGGAGCCCACACTTGCTTCCCAAGACAAACTCAAGGTATCGCCTGGCGGGCTACCTTTCGTGACATGTTAAACAAGCGGATCGAAGTATCTTGAGATATCGCCTCTTTCTGTTTTGGGTTTTCTTGGGGAGCGTTTTGGAGAGTGGAGACTGTTTTGTTGCAAGCAAGGTGTCTTCTTTCTTAGCCGTCTTAGTGTTGGGGGCGCAAAATGTGCGTTGGCAACAGCTGCAAAAAGCTGTGCTCCTTGCAGTTGATCATCTGCAATCATGAGATGTTGTTTAGAAGATCGTAGTAGCCTCTCAGCCTGCAATACATAGCTGTCCAGGCCACACGTGCTTCACAGCACGTTAATTTTAAGCAAGCTTTGATCTGTCCAGAAGTTCTTGACTAAGAACGTTACATTTATATGAGGCGAATATGGTCCTCTTACTGAGGCTGGTCGGAACCTCCTGCATTTTTGAGGAGCCTTCAACCATTTAAACACATTGTAAACAGGAAAGCTCTGAATCCCCAAACACCTAGTCTTCAACTTTGAGAGTGAGGCCTTCTAGGTGCCACACACACCAAACGACACAAAACTCTGACTTGCCCCTGCCTCCAAAATAGGCCACAAGGGAGGCGTTCACAAATCCAGAACCCTAGAGACTCGACCGCCCTCTTTGGCCCGAAACGAAACGGCGCGTTTCTCGGCGCGGCGAGGCTAGGCCGACGGCGCACCCCGCGGGCGATGCCCGTGGCCAAGACTTGGGCGGAGGCCACGCTGAGGCTAGGCTCCTAGAGGGAAACTCGGAGGAGTTTGGGGAGTCGAAGGTCGAGAATGGCCCAACATCCTCGATACCATGTCTTTGTGGGGTTATATACATATATGTATGCCAACTACAATAATTTAAATATACGACAGTATATGACTATAATTTACTACATAAAAAAGCGCCAGGATCCTCTTGTCACAGAACAGACAAAGAGGCCCACCCAGGTCCTAACATATATTATATATAATATTACTAGCTAATATATAATCATATATATATATATGTACTTTGCCATGTTCTTTGTCTGTTGCCTTCTTTGTAGAGGCTGATTTTGCGACGAACTTCAGACTTCATGCACAGGTGGACCTCCTACGTGCACAGCACGTGGGCCCTTCGCTAGGCGTTGGGATCGCTTGGGGTAGAAACTCTGCCGAAGTGGGGCTTCAAACATGTCGGCATCAGATCCAGTACCCGAACCCTGAACATCAACCATCACAACTTGGGTATGGTATGGCACCCGTAGGGTTCCAACCACTATTGATAAATTTTGATTAGACTACAAAACCGGCTAAACCATCATTGACATGGTCTTGGAAGCTGGGGTCATGGCTATGTCTGCTACTGATCGGCATATGTGGCAATCCCGTGGAGTGTCTGGGCATCTTCCAAACATGATACCTTGTCACTCCATGCGCGACGACGTGCACTGACCCACGGTCCATCCACTGCTGCTCCTGTGACTCGTGTAGGAGCTGCGATAAGACGCCGCGGTCCATCCACTCGGTGACCAACAGAAGGGTGCGATGACCACCTCGCCAGGTCGCGGGGTCCGACTTAAGGGGCGGGCGAATGTCACGCCCGGATCGGGATGTTGGGGTGTTGGAGATGGAATGTGGTTCGAAGATCCAAGATGATCGAAAGGTATAGAGGTCATTGATACTATTGATACCCAAAACCCGATGTTGGGTCTAGCAAGGGTCAGAACAACATCGGGATTCTTGATGCTTTTGAATGGTGTTGGGATCGGCCTGATGACATGATCCTCCAAGCCGCTGCGCGCCCCCTTGGGACATCCAAGCAGATCTTCCTGCGAGTTACGTGCCACAGCAGTGAGGCCAGAAGTGGGGCTCCAAGACAAGAACAGAACCGTTTCCAAGAACAGATCGGTTGCTAAGAACCGGTCCTGGAAGGACGGCCCAAAAAGACACTGCCCAGTTTGGCTCAGTGGCAGAAAGCTTCGGTTCGCTAGGGTTTGGACCCTCACAGCCAGGGCTTTGGACCGAACCAACATGTAACAGTTTGAGGGTCCATGAGCCTCTGGGTGGAACAAAAACAGATCAGTTGAGTGCGTTTCTGCTGTCTTTTGTGATGCAGTTCACTACTGAGTGCTATTGTATATGTTATTGTGTGCCAGGGTGTTGCTACCAGGGTGCTGATAGCAGGTTGGTTCTCAAAGCGTATCCTCGAGAACATGCAATACTCGCACTCAAAGGCAAAGGTGGAGATAGGTAAGTAGGGTCACAGTTGACTCATGTTGACTCTTTTTCATTGGGGAATTCGTTCTCTCCTGGGCAAAGAACAAATCATTCTTGAGGAGAAAACCGGGGAAGGGAATGCAATTAGCAGAACCAAGGCTTCGACACTCGCAGCATACTAGTGTTCTGCGCCTCAAAACCATGGAGCCACCAAGAGTCACGGTCCAACAACCAAACATCCAAACATTTTATATCGTAAAAGTGGATTGATCAATCAACTCCAGGCAATGTTTTGCAAAAAATAATGGATATCCTGGTGTGTACACACTGCGCTCAGGTAGTACAAAATCTGGAACAATTGGTTTTTTGGCAAGAAAGGTGCGCCTGGAACATTACAATGGGGTCTATGGAATCTAGAAGATTTCTGGTCATAAATATATACACAGTAAAAATCACAACCTTTTCGAGAATTTCCCGGCCTCTCAAGTCAACGCATCCGCGCCAGAAGCGCACAATGTTCCTTGCCGAGCGCTTCCTACCCGGAGCGGTGGGTGGGGGGGGGTCCGGCTGTGCAAATCACCCGGACCACAAGGTTTGTGGCGCAGGACTGTGCAATAAACCGACTTGGCCAAAACCGCGCGATCCACAGGGTTTGGGCGAACGAATCGAAACCCAAACAAGATGTGCGGCAAAATGCATTGGCAACCATTTGCTATCCCATGCTGTAATATGTATATGACCACCCTTGGAACTCGTGGCTCTCAAATGGCCAAGAATGGTTTTTGGGTCCCTATATTATACATCAACCACTACTTAGGGGTTCGCCAAGACGTCGAGCATGGCAACGTGCTTGCGTCCACATGATGCCCCTTCAGAGCCTCAAATCCAAAAACTCTTTTCTGGCAGTTCCTACATCAAAATGCACCGTGCGAGTACAAGTCCCGACCTATCTCGAGAAATGTAGGCCATATGAGTCCCTAGAGGTCCACATACTCTCTGACAAGGTGATTGGAGACACTGCTATAATCCGTTATATATATATATATGTAGGCCATATGAGTCCCTAGGGGTCCACATACCCTCTGACAAGGTTCTATATAATCTGTTAAAATCTGTTATAATCTCTTGGAAGGTCCAAGAGTCCAAGACCTTCCAAGAAGGCACGACTGAATCCCAAGTAAATGGTCTTCACCGTCAACCCCCTTCGGCCCCGTGCGCAATTCCTTTCTCCAACGAAAGACGCGAGACCGACCCCCTTCGTCCAAGGTTCGGGTGCGAGAGACGCGAAAGCAGCGAGATCTCCAAGACGAAGTCACACACCTGGGGCGGTGGCTCAAGATGGGCATTGGCTATTTGAAAAGGACCTTTGCACTTTGCATGCGTCACAAGGTCTAGCCTGTAGCAGCCATCTACACCTGAGGATGAGGTCTTGTTTTGCGCAACAGGTCCTCCAGGGTGAGCAGGGGTCAATCACACATGTCCCAGGCGAAGGCATGCTGGCGGTGTCTTCCACCAGACTTGAAAACCTGAAGTGGAAGATGGGTTTGGGAAGCACAAAAGCGAAAGAACATGAAGAGAAGGATGAACACCAAAGGAAAAATGAGCGACCCACCATGAATCAAGCTGCTATGATTATGATCTTGAAGCTGATCCTGATGGCAGCTACCGTCTCAGCCACAAAAGGAGAAAAAGATGGATGGTGGAACAACGAGTGGATAATGATTGCCGCCTACACCACTTTTGTGATGATGATAAGTCTGCCCAGTACGCCAGTTCAAGAGGGAGCGAGATTGAGGAAGTTCAAGAAGAAGGAACACATGAATAAAGAGGGTGAAGAGATCCAAGAGGTGCCTAGGCCCGCCGGACTACCTATGCCAACTCAGCCTCCAGTGCCTCAAGGGACTACACATCCAACTCAGCCTCCAGTGTCTCTCGCTCCAACACAACCCTAAGAGCCTCTCAACTCAGCGTCGCCACATGTCGCCCCAAGTGATGGTATGGGGACGTCCATGTCAACTCCCGGCCAATGTTGTCCAACCGTCGGATTGGAATGTTCCTCCAAAGGCAGCTGCGCTGAATTACAAGAAAAGCTCAAAGAAATGAGAAAAAAAAGAGAAGGAAAAGAAGGTGCTGCATCAGCAGCGAGCTCAGCAGCACCACCAAAAGGAAAAGGAAGATCACAGGGTGGTCCAACAGCCAGTTCAAGTGGAAGCCCAAACAAGCCACTTGTTTTGATCACAAGATTCGGCAAAGCATACCACTTGCACTGGAAGTGCAGTACTCGACCAATCCCACTTCGGGAGATATCAATGCCTCCCCGTGGTGTCAGCGATGCAAGAAAACAGGGCTTATCCACCGCCATGTAACCAGAACAACTGCCTTTGTCGTTTGGACCGTGAGGTGCTTTGAGGATCGGTAAGGGGAGCGCAAGCAATGAAACCGGACCCCCCCGTTTTTCCTACACCATCCTGCACCTAAACCGCGATAAGGAGCATCCAGCATGGCTATGCACATGTGTGCACAAACATCTCGGGGATGAACCCTCTGGCTCGGTCGGTTGAAGCTCAACTGAACTCTAGGGATCCAAATACCTTCTCAGAAGGTGATTGGAGACTATTTATGTTGGCTTGGAGGGCCCAAGTACCTTCTGAGAAGGTACTTGGATCCCTAGGGTGAGAATATAGCCAATGATGTTGCTGTCAATATCCCCTGCAGTAACGTTTAGAGTTTAGAGTATAGAGTGAACTTGAAGTTCGACCTTGTGTAATATTCTCTGCCTGGAATCATCATGGTTACGTGGATGGCACCACCTCAGTACTCGGATGGTCTTCCTTTCGGGGCCTTGCCTTCCACCTCCGATACCAAGGAGTGTCTTTTTCAGGTGTAGCACATCCCATCGCTTGGAGTTGCCTGGTCTCCACGCATGTCATACCGAACCGCTGAGGAAAGGCACATCGGCATCAGTGGGGCTGGCATCTCGCACCTGCGCGGTGGGGCGAAATTCAAGAGTTGGGCAGTTTATGAGGAAAACACTCCCTCCAAGCACTGCTTGCCTCAGTGGATGATGAAAGACCTTGTGGTGATCTGCATCCTCTGACCCAACAAGACATCTCAAGGATCTCCACGCTTCTCCTCGCTTCTCCACGCCCCCACCCGCGCCATCGCGACGCGACCCGCGCCTCCTTGACCGCCACCGGCTGCCCCGCCCAGGTGCCCTGGAAGACCTCGCCGAAGCCGCCGCGCCCCGCGCGGTCGCGGCGATCGAAGTCGATCTCCCAGGGCTCCACGTGCCTCGGTCGACCGGTCGACAAGGTCGGAGGGTTCCAAGAAGATACCACCAACCAGCAGCATTTAGCTGACTGGTGAGTAAGGAATTTTTGGGAAAGGGATCCGGTAGTGAAGGGTCATTCCAGTTTGGATGGCTTCCAAACCTGCTCAGCCGGTCAGGGTACGGTCTTTTTCAGACTCGACGTCGTTGTCGTGCCTCACCTTCTTGATTCCAACTGAACATCCGCTTGTCCTCACTGTTGCAGCCTCACTGTTGTCTGACCAATGTTAGAACACATGAGTTTGCACCCCATTTTCCGAGACTCACCTGCATCGAGTCAAGTTATGCTGCCTCCACACCAAAAAAGCTAGCAGCTACTATAGCTTCATGAACTTGATGTTGTTCTTGTGGCTTCTGACCTCATGACCTCATGACCTCCAGCTTGGCGCCGAGTCGCCAGCTGGGTCGCAGCATGAGCCCTCCGAGGTTCGGTTGCAGCGACGGAATCGCGGCGGCCCCGGGCCTCCGGCCACGTGGCGGCCGTGGGCCATTGGGCTGGAAAAAGGAGGAGAGTTGGGCATATCAAAATGACATGAAAGTACACAGTGACACTGCATGATGATGCTTAGTTCAAGTCCTTTCCCACATATTTGTCTTCACATTTTAGTCATATTTGGCTGACTGTTACTGGTAATGGGACAAATGAGAGTGACCGAACGAGTGTGCTTTGATCTGGGCAAGAAGCACACAAATGGATGGTGGGACGGGGCAAGTGACGAGAATCCTGAAGAATCCTGAAGACACGGGGTCCTTCACTTGGCTCCTGAAGTTCACTTACAGGTCACCCCCCTGCAAAAACGGAAACATATGTCATTAAAGGTTGTGGTGTGTGCCAACAGTTTGGAGATGTGTGCCAACGGCTTCCATGTTCACCTGCTTCGCTTGAAACATCACTGGGACACTTGCTGTCCAGGCACCTGGAAAAATATACAAAATAACTAGTGACTAGTCACCAGAAGGGGATTTCAATGGATTTCATAATATAAATGTATACAAAATTTTAACATCACCCCAAGCAGAACCACACACCAGGATAACAACTCTATATCGAGAGACATCACGTCATTCCACGTCCGCTCCCGTCCCCCTCGGAGTCTCAGCTCCCGTCCTCACAGCCCCGCGTGGCACATCCTCCCCCTCGCTCTCCAAGCGCCGCAGGTATTCGCCAGCTTTGCCTGCCGATCTTGGTATGGAGGTTCTTTAAGAATGTATCTGGGCCCTTCAAAGCACCCTACAAAATAGGACAAGTACTTGGACCCATTTGCTGTGGTACTTAGAGCTTCAGGTCTATTCAAACATCTTCGGCGGGTGGCACGAGGCAACCCCAAAAACTAGCAGCATCTCATCTCATCTCACACCATGAAATGAAGTCACATTGATTGAACCCCCAACGATCATGTTATTTTATGTCGTGACCTCCAAAAACACTTCCCCCAAGCATGTCGGTCTGGGCCACTTTGCTTGGATCTTTCCATGAAGGACATGGGCCAGGCGCCTGGTCAAAGGCCAGGCTCCCCGGTCCGCCGGTCCGTGAGAGTGCAACCGGAAAAGACAAAACGAGTCGAGGAGTAGCGAAGTCAAGGATTCTTGCAACAGGGTGCCTGTAAGAAGGGCGCAATGCCGTGGGCCGCTTCTCCAGTGCATGAAATGTCCAGGATTCCAACCACCATTCTTTTGATAGCCTGAATCCCGAACAACCATTGTTTTCATAGGACGTTTACATTCCAAAACCAGGTCAACCATTGATGTTTTACATGGTCGAATGGAAGGCTAGTATAGGGGCACCAACATTCACAGGGCTACTCAGCCGACTTGCCCGACGGATAGCCATGGTCCAAAGGTCTTTTGAGCCAGCTCGGGCTTCAAGACCACACCTCCTGGTGTCTTTTCTACTGCATCTCAACCTCTCAACATATCTTCTCTTAGTTTATCTCAACAAACGTATCCCAGGAGCTCCATGGGACTGCCATATATGCCTACATTGGGGTGGTTTGGGGGGTCAATGTAGGCATACTTGTAGGCATATATTCCATACATGGAGCGTCTGGGTATTCTCAAGCTTCAGGGTCCGACGGGCCTGATACCACACCCTTCAAACGCCACGGGCCTGATCCTTCCTCGTAAAGAGCGCCGGGCTCGAAAATCACATCGACCACGTAATGGTCTCCGTCGACCTGGACCTCGGCAGCTCTCCGTGTCGAGAGCTGACGAAGCCATGGGCGCTCCGTTTGGGCGGTTCGGTCCTAAGGCCTAGGGGTATAGGTGCCTGATAGAGTCTGATAGAGTCTCATTGCCTTCTGAAAGGTAGGCCCTTGAAATCAAGAACAGGCTACAATAGGCTACATATGCCATACATGGAGTGTCGGGGTACCAGTATTATGTTGGTGTATTGGCACAAAACCTGCAACCATTCAATGAGTTAGTGAACCGGTTAAAGCCACGGCCCACAAGAATCTAAGAGAAAAAAGTAAATTAGGACGATGAAGAAGTAGCATCGGATACACTTTTTGACACGCAACCCACATTCAATCGCTCCTCCAAACCCCTGCTTCTCTGCCATCTTTCCTTGTTTGAAGAAGCTGGCATTTGATTATCGATGATGGGATGTGATTTCTCAAAACCTGAGTGGTCTGCGCACATGTTCGTACCCCCTGCCGCCCCTAGCGCTGGAAGTTGAAGAGTCTGTGTACAAACTCTTCAATTGTGCGATTCCCAGAGATCAAAAATGGATGCCGCGATCTATCACAAAATATGAAAGCCAAGGTGGGAACACTCTCAACACGAATCCTTTCCTCTACAAATGCCGCCTCGACTGAGTATTTTGTTCTATGTATCTATACAGCTTGCTTGACCCCAGGATTCCAACAATCTATATACTCTTTACCGACCAAGAGGAATTTAGAACCCTTCTTGTAAAATGGTCTTGGAAGGCCAGGGAATCTCTCTCCTGGCCTTCACACGCCAAGACCCAATTGTTCCCCATTTCACCCGGCTGCTGTGTTCCACGTGACCATGTTCTCCTGGAGCGGGGAAACTGGATGGATCACATCTTGGTATAAACACGGCGGTTGATGACCCCTCCAAGTGGACAACGTCCTGTTTCTAGGGAATCATCGTCTTCAAAAAGAAGACATGTTCAATCCATGTCTGGGCATGTTTTATTCACTCTTCCCTGGAACAGGGGAACCTGACGCATTCCAGCTTACTACTCCAGCTTATAAGCTCCAAACCCGCACAGAATGTACAATTCTGTAATTATTGTAATTGGAAAATGTTTCTTCTACATAGGGACCGGGACATCCATCATTGTTCATCGGCTGTAGTGCCAAAAGGGTCAAGCTAACACATCCATCCACGCTTTGTTCCTCCGAACGGTCAAGATCTGCTACATACTGCTACCTGCTTCGCGGGCTCCTGGCGTTGCAAGCTGCAGGGTGCCACAGCAAGCCAATCGCACACCGCCTTGAACAGCACCGAGCGGACACGCGACGTGCCCGCACCGATGCTGTTCTTCCTCGCCTGACGGTCAGCGGCGGCGAGCCCGGCCCGGGCGGGTGAGACTCGTCAGCGGGGTGAAAGCCAACGACTCCATGGGACAGGCCTCTTGACCGCTATTCGCTACGAACGTAGCGATGCGCTACTGTTTGGCGTCCTTGTTGCTAGTAGAAAATGCCAGGAGCTACATTCGTAGCTTCTAGCAACTAGTAGCGATGCACCTGTTACTACCCAGACTCCTGTCTGAGGCTCTGAAGGGCCTGACATCTGGCTCCAACGAGAACGTAAATAGTTCCACTCCCCAAATGCTTCATCATGAAGCACCAATGTCCAAACTCACAAGCCCATGTAACATTCGCCTAAGTAGGGTTGCCTCTCCAAGAAACACTTGGCTCACTTCAATTACATCCCTAAGTGAAAACATAGGTACTCGACCCATGCAGAAATACTCAACATCGGCAGCTTTGCTACCCAACACGCGCCCTCAGCAAGCGCCCCCAGGACCCCAAAAATCTCCCAGTGAGCTGCGGTCCACAACACTGTGCCTTGCCCTCCTGGATCTCATGCATCAAGCTTCCCAGCAAGACCCCTCTCCTTGGATGCAAAGTGGCTTGTCCGATTGCCCATCGGAGATTCATGCCAATTTTGCTCTGGACATGCGGTCCCGATGGCAAAACAGTTGAAAGCAAAACCATTGAATTCTTGCAGGTCCAAACCAAAAATGTTGGATCAAACATCAAAACTGCAACCTGAAGAAAACCCCAAACAAACCCCAAAACTAAACCAGGCTTCGATCAACCCAGCTCCAGCTTGAACTTTCCACCTCCCACCGATCTCTCGGCACCGGACACGCACCGGAATCAGGCCTAGGCTCTCAGCGTCGCTCTTCTCGCGCAGCAAGCGCTCGCAGCGCGTCCACACCGTGGAGGCATGCGACCCGCTGCGGCCCAAGGTCTCCGAAACCTCGAGAGGTGGGTGGAACGCGACGCGGTCGGTGGAACGAGGCCCGGAGCTCGTGGCCGGAGGTCGCGCAGCGGTTCGGATGGGAGAGGAGGCCGGTGGGTCTTGGTTGGTCGGCTGAGCGGTGGGATGGGGGTGGTGGTGGAGTGGATGGGGTCAGGCAGGGCGGTGGCAGTGGTCAGATGGAGAGGTGGTCGTGTCCAAGAGTGTTAGATGACATTTCTTTTGGAAGATGCAAATGTTCCGGAATGGTGACGCTTTGTCCAAAAGGGAGGGATCAACAGTTTGCATGGCCGGCCATGACCTGTTCCAAATCCTTGCGTGTGTGTGACCCCCTAACCACTGATCCGCTTCCCTCGAAAATAGCAACCTTGTTCCAGCTGTGCTTGTTGAGTGGGAAATCCATTGTCCAAAACGAAGTTGAAGGCTGGTTAAGCATTCCTGCCCCCAAAAGTCCAGTCAGGTCCAAAAACACAACTGAAGGGACACCCCCTGAAGTCAACGACATCCCCCTTTAAGAAACAGTTCTTTGGTCGTTGACTCCCAAGAGGTGGACGTGGTGCCCCCCGCCGTCCCCGTCACGCGGCACGTCCGCGCCTGGAACGCGGTGACCATGACCCGTGTGACCGCATCACCTGGGACGGCGGGAGTCCGGGTACTCCACGAACCGCGAACCGACCGATGTGCCAAGTACACCACCGACCACGTCACGTTCGAATGGAATGACGCTCGTTCTTGGCCGTGTATGTTCAATAGAACCATCAAAAACCATAAAAATATCATACAACATCACACGCTGCAGACGAGGGGTTCCCGGACAGATTTCAACATTCAGTGGTGTAGAAAGACTCCTGAACCCGGGGCCTGCTGGGGGAGAGCATGACATCTCTGTGTTGTTGCAAACATTTTGTACTTCCAGTCAAGGCGGATTTTTGAAAAAAGACGCAATTCCAAGCAGATGCAATGTAGCAGGAACTGGGTTCCCCCATAGTTTTCCGTTCCAAATTACAAACGTGCCTTTCAGAACATGATCCGGACCCTTGTTGTTTTGACCTGTGGAACGCAATGAAGAGTAGACGTCCTTATTTTGCATTGGCAAAGGCAGTGTTTTCTGACCCTCCTCAACATCAGCGCCTTTGTGAGTCAGCCCTTTTTTCTACTTTCTCAGCGACGAGCTCATTCACAGATTCCACAACGCTTGTGCGAAGGAATCTCGAGGATTAACGCTGAGAACTTGCAACCGTTCCTTGTGCACCTTCAGTGCCCTCAAAACTCGCAATAACCCAGGACCTTCGTTGAGGTAGCGCATTGGCGCATTGCCAAAAGATTGCGATGTTCTACGGGGTCTTTAGCATCTGCGTAGATCACTCTCTCTTGCAAATCCCAGCCACAGCTTCAGCGCAGTTATCACCCCCTTCCAGGATGAAGCAGTCTCGCTTCACCTTTGCCAGGCTTCGACACAAAGACCGCGTGGTTGCGTCTAAACCGGTTTTGGCGATAGAACTCAGGGGGGTCCACCTCAAATTCATGTGCGACACGCCCGGCAGGGAAGGAACGCCCGCCTGCTGAGCTGCTTTGTGCAATGCCTTGCTCCCGTCTACCGCTGCAACGTGTTCTTTTTTTGCCTGGTCTGAGCTTCTGGGAAATTTTTCCGTGGTTTCCAGAAAACTTTCGGGCCCCGACGAACACCCTTTAGCCACTTTCGGAGTCTTCACACCAACCAGCCAGCACGTCCGGAGAAAATTCTGGTAATTAGTCGAACACACCATTCCTCGGATGACGCAGGTGAACATGCGTGGAACGGCGCAGTGCATGCAAGTAAAGACATAGAACTAGGCGCACCATTGTTTCTAGAACAATGTCTGCGTTCTTGCAAGCGCAAAGGCGTCCACGCTTCTCTGGGTAAAGTCAAAGACGGATGAAGATAACACCCCACTGTGTCTGACATTTCAATGCGGCATTGTCGCATCTAGAGGTTCTTTTCATGGGTTGCTGACAACCCCAGCATCACTGAGCGCCCCAATGTTCTTGCAAGAAGCTTCTGCATTGCAGCGACGTCCATGACGCCACGTCTACATAGTTCACCTGATTCAAATCTCGCAATCCACCGGAGACCGTGGCATCAGCAGCAGCAGCTGTGTATTTCAATCCTTCCTTTTGGAAGGCCTTGTTTTCTTCAGCTGAAAGCTTCTTAGAGCGTCCTTTGGAAGACGAAGCCACCAAACATTTGCGTCTAGTGGCCGGCATCTTACGGCAATCCCCTGGATCCGAAATGTTCGTGGATATGCAGTGGGACCGCAACCAGAGACTATGTTGGTGGTCCAAAGAAGTGATGGGTGAAGAAGTGAGACAATGGGCTCGCTTTTGGGCCCAGGCGTACTTCAGCCTAGAAAACCGGCTGAAGCGAGGTGGGCAACCTTGAGACGGCTGTCTTACCAAGGGGTGAGGTTGCGGCTTTTGGGCGTTTGTGAGACAACCAGTTTGAAAAGCCAAAATGTTCTTGCTCGAGCCTTGGATGCAAATGCTAGAAGCTCGAAATCAGTGCCCTTGCATCGGCTTCTTAATTCGGAAGCCAAACATGCTTCTTCTCGAACCACAGAGAACAACCTGATAGAGGCAACAGCAGCACAAAGAACAAACAGTCAGACCGTCCGAAAATAAGAACACATCAGTCTGTTCGACCGGAATGCCAAATTTTTGCCTGCCGAAGTGGCTTTGAGAACGCCAGGGTCTAAAAAAGTTGTAAACAAACAAAAAATAGCATTCTCTGCCGGCAGCCTGAGCGCCCATGAACCGGACAGCGACCATGCTTGGTAGGGCGCAGGCCCCACTTGTCCAAATTCACTTCAACATCATTGTCCGTAGATTCAGGCTGAGGGTTCCGCAGAAACGAATCAAGACACAAATGTGCTTGACCCGAAGATTCCGAGATCCCAGTTCTTGCAACGGTATGGCATGGCGCTCTGCACACTTGACATTGGAATCCCGCACATCGTGTCTGTATAGGTCCTATCTGCAGGTCAGACTCCTGTGTCCTTTGCTTCCATGTGCGGCGGGGATTCATCTCCGCAAATGTCACTAAAGCTCTCACTGCTGGATGACGATTTCAAGGCCAAGTCATCTTGGAGCTGTTCACGAGTGGAATTGGCCATCGGAAGGACGATTCGACAGTACAGAAAGAAAATGTTCCGGCGCGACGTCTTCTCATGATAATTGAAGGCACATGCCTTAAAGGCGTCTCTGGGCTCACGGCAATGACTAAATTCGCGAAGAAACTTTTGGCAAAGGTGGAAGGGCTGTCAGGAACATATTCGACAGGAATCGAAGCCATAGAGCTGGAGGAGCAAATCGGTGTGCGTGGAGCCGGTGTATCTCCAGTCCTGCAACGAATGAGATGCATCCAGGTGTCCTACAGGTACACCTTTGCCTTTGAAAAAGGAGATTAGTTGGCTCAATCAAACAAAATGGACGTCGATCCTGTCTTCCTTCACAGCAGCTTCCGTTCTTTGCATGGAGGCAAGGAGGCAACGAAGCAGTCTCTTAGAAAATCAACGAAGAGACGGGAACAAATCTATCTTTTACTTACATATTGTGACCACATTGTCAGCCATGAACGAAACAACATTGCATGAAAGTGCTCCAGACATGCGAGACCCAAGGGAAAACGATCCGGATCCAACACTATGTCCAAAGACACTTGACCTAAAGCCTGATGCCTGCAATGACTCCCCAAATCAATCAAAGAGTCTCAGTACAAACAGTCAACCTGGAAAAACGGTAACAAGGGACCGGGAAAAGAAAACTCGTGTGACCTACCCGACAAACGCAACAACAGAACTAAACACTAAGAAACTAACAAAGAACACGGCAACTCCCTCATGGAGCCAAAAAACCTGCACATGAACACGGACGCTCATTGCCACCCCACCCACCCACCCACCCACCCCGAACCCTGGATAGCAATGGGAAGCTAAAGTCCATTGAAATATGTGATGGGAAGTTTCAAGTCTTCGGAGAACCCCCCGTCTGAAGGGTCATACTACAACTGCAACGATTTGGCTAGACCGGATTTGCCCTGCTAATCATCCACGTTGTCTCCAAGGATTCGCTCAAAAGCTTGCTCGAATCTGATCTCCACACTCTCTACGGGGACTGGCACTACGTTGATCCCTTGGAGGAAAAAACACACACTCCAAATCGATGTAAATCTTCCATGCATAGGGTCTGGGCTCATGGCACTTCGCCAGACCTTCCTTCGCTTCGCCGGTCACCTGCTGCCCGGTCACTGGTCCTGGCGAGCTTCTTGTTGACCTTCCTAGGTCCGGCGAACGCCGGCGATGCGACGGGGGAAGTGCCTCTCTCTCCCAGCAACGAGGTGTCAGACGACGCTGTGTTGCATATAGTATAGACATGTTATTAATACAAATGTATGTATATATACTTATTATACAAAAATAGATAAATATCGTATATATATATAATCGAACAAATGGAATTGTAAGAACTTTTCAGGCCTGGCAGGGGATGATTTATTAAGAGTCGACATTTATTGGGTTTGAGTTAAAAAGTTCGTCGAACAACAAGACTAATAAATACCTGGATCTTCCAACTATAGCAGAATTCCTGCTGGATCAAAAGGAACACATTCTGCATAATTGGAAGACGATGCAGGTATAACAGCAGCGTGACCTCAAGTGGTGAATGCTCATGAGTCCATGCAACCATTGCAATTGAAAAGGAACGTCCATTGCAATCCAAACAGCACAAGTCAAAGCAGGTTTATCATGTTTTGTCAGCATATCAGTTGGCATAGGCCATCATAAGTCATGTGGGTTCATGTGGTTTCATTTCTTCTGACCTACTCATTCTTGCATGGTCCCTGCTTCAGTTGAAATCAGCCCTCCCCCCAAACAGAACTTCCCATGGTGTCCTAAAAGAACCCGTTAAAGGACAAGAAGAGACACACACCATCTCTGTGTCCATCCCGGAGGCAGTAGCCAGAGTGTCCGGAAACGGGAGGTGACACACATACACTTCCCAGGACTTAGGTAGCTTTGTCTCGACCTTGAAAGTCCTGAACTTCACATGCACATCCCCGCTCCACGCCCAGACTCTCCAGGAACTCCACCTGCGCCCGGATTTCCGGGCTCCAGTCTTCAGGAGTGCAGGGCCAGTATTTGGTGTAGAGTCAATGAAAAACCACTGGTTGGTGGTGGTTCCAACTCGCCTTCTTCAGAATGCTACTTAGTTGTTTCCCATCATCCCAAGTAACGGTCCAAGCAGGATGATTAGTCCAGGTTGGTGTGAAATGATTCTCCTGATGCTGCACGATACCCAGATCACGCCGCGCATCGAATTCCTTTCCAATCACCCCAATCTAGGCCATTTTTAGACCATACGTGGAGTGTTTGGAATGAGAAAATGCCAGACGATTCCTTCATCCAAAATCCAAATATATACCTACTTGGAAGAACAAAAGCTCCTGGATCCAAATTGACCTAGTTCATCCTATACTATCTCCTGTGCCGCTGCCCTTTTGAACGCGCCGCTGCCCACGACGCCATCCGGATCCATCTTCCCACCGAGCCGCGAGGATTCCGTCTTCACTGCGATCC